GCCGGTAGGGTTCCAATAACGCGTATTTGCTTTACCTCTGCTCGCGTCTCGACTTTGTGGCAGTGCGCACATTGCTCTTTGCAGGGTCGTCTAGAAAGAGCGTCGACGTTGTTATGTTTTCTCTTTGTCGTCTGGGTGTACATCCACTTGCCAATAGCCACTCTTTAAATCGAGAGTTGAAAACCATTTGGCACCGGCCAGCGTGTCCAGGGTGTCGTCAATGCGGGGTAGTGGAAAGCAATCCTTCTTGGTGACGTCGTTCAGCTTTCTGTAGTCCACACAGAAACGGAGCTCCCCATTCTTCTTCCTGACCAGAACGACCGGGGACGACCAAGGGCTGTCCGATTCTTCTATAACCCCCTGTCCCCTCATGTTGTCGAGCATTTCCTTCACTTCCGCTTGTTTTGCCAGGGGTACTCTCCTCGGTGACGTCACCGCTGTTGATTCGCTTTGCATAGCTTCAAGGTCGCGGGGACTCGGCTAACGTCGGCTCCGCTCGGCTGACTTCGGCTCCGCTCGTGACGTCACCGCGCGTGGAGCGTTGCATAGCTACCAGGATGCGGGGTGATTACTCGCCTATTATGCGAGCGCTACGTTACTGCTACGTGCAGCTGGGGAGGTAGGGGTCAACATGTCACAATATTCATCACATCTTAGTACTATCAGTATATTAGTTTCAACATTTTAAACATACGACTGTCATACGATGTACACAAGTTTTTCTATCTGTGTCCTCGGTATTAAGTGTGCAGGTATCTATGACCTGTTTGTTGTCTGGGTATTGTTTGTAAGTAATAATTGATGTAACGTCCTAATAAATAATCTGCTTTTAGATATTAGACCAATGTTTAAGATACTGTATTGTGGAGATGAATTGATGTATTTGTAATTGTATTTTGTTAATGTGATGTGACTTGTCTGGTCTTGTCTGTGACTAATTCCACATCTACTGGTCATTATTATACCACTGAGGATCAACAGAATATTTAAATAAATTGAATTTAATTGAATAGTATTGAGAGATGAAAAAGACTAAGTGTGGTTTAGATAAACTATGATATATTTTCAGGCTTTATGCTGTGTTGACAAGAAAGGTATTCTGTCATGGCCAAACCCAACAGCAGAGAAAATTTTCTTCCTTCGAAATTCTTCTCATACAGCTTGCTCATCAGGGTGAGAGTTTGAACATTACTAAACTTTGTCACATCATTGTCTTGCTAGGACCACAGATCTGAAAGTAATGACAAGAATGCATCAATATAAGTTGTTACTGCTTTTCACAGTATTCAGTGGGTTGTGATAGCCTTTTATTATTTTCCATTAGGTCTCCATTGTAGAAATTTGCCAAATTTTGGGTACTCTCTCATTCACTTTATTCACTTTCATCTGCCTACAAGTTAATACACAGTTTTGTTTTCCCTTTAACCTACAGTACAAACAGTGTAGTGCATATTGACCCACTGCAGACTGGGATATTGGAAGAGGATGAGCAAGAGGAAGGCATGTCAAAGTCCAGCTTCATGCAGCATGGTAAGATATCGTGAGTGTAACATACATACAGGGCCACGCCATAGCTGAAGCGGTTAGTCGTTGGCTTCCCACTGCGGCTTCCCCGGGTTCGATCCCGGGTCTGGTCAAGTGGGATTTGTGGTGGACAGAGTGGCGCTGGGGCAGGTTTTCTCCGAGTATTTCGGTTTCCCCTGCCAATCTTCATTCCACCAATTGCTCCACAATCACCCTCACCTATCATCTGGGGCTGGTACAATAAGCCAGAAGTGGCTGAAGTACAAGGGACTTAGTCCCACCCCACTAACAATAAAATAAAACAAAACATACATACATACACATACACACGCACGCGCACACACACACACGCGCGCGCACACATTAAAAAGAAGTACATAGTACATTTATAAAGTTACTTCAAAAACAAAGTTGCAATGTGTTGTGCATATGTTCACCTGTTGCATAGTAGTTCTCCAATTCACCACAGCAATACTGCCCATTGTCTCCCCCATACTTCTCTCATTACAGTACAGGCTTGTTGTATTTGTGATAATGTTACAGTAGATCCGAATTTGTTCACCCGTCACTTCACTATTCCATCCTTATTTCACTGTATGTTTAATACTTTGTAAGCTTCTTTACTAGGCTGTAGTGTATTGGGATTTGCTAAAAGTTTTTCTTATGCAACTGGTAGATTCATATAACCAGCATTACTGTGCATGTCTCATAACCAGGAGTTCACTATATCTGATTTTTCATTGTGACCATTGGCTGATCAGAACCCATCTTATGTTAAGAAAGTTTGTGTGATAGTATGAACATTGTACAAGTGGTGTTGCCTTCTCACATGTAGATTGTATCACATTAATTGATAATAGAACAAAATTTATATGCTGTAGATTATAATTCAACACAAACAGTGGCAGAGGTCCTCGATTTAACGCATGACCACATGAGCCCCTTCCGTCTTCAGTTTGATGACCACACCTGGAAACAGCATCTGAACTCATTGAAACCTTTAGGGTTGGCAATCTTGCTCAACACCTGCAACAAGGCCACACAGGAGAACTACACACAGTTTTGTTCTCATGTTACATGTGAGGCCCTCTATGATGAAGATCTTGTCCCTGTTACCAACCGCAGGTAAATTGCTCTGAATTGTATATGTTTGTGTACCAGTATTAGGATATAAGCTTTGTTTATAAGATTGTTCTGAGAGTTTACTTATATGAAGCAGTCATCCTGAAGATGTTTAAATTGAATGGAGGGACGAAGAGATTATGTAACCTGAATGAGGCTTTTTAGCTTTTGGGCTCAGGAATACACAGATTGAAAGGTACAGACTTTTCCACTAACTACTTATAACATTAATTATTGCCCACCATTTGTAAAATATCATATTTCATTCCTTGAGATTGGGTAGAAGTTTAAATTCATCCGTAGGTTTTCCAGAGATATTAATGTACAGAGCTCGCTGGCTATGAAGTACATCATAATAGAATTTCTGGTGCTCTGTGAGCAGGATCTGCTTCCATTAGGAAGAAAGGATATCAGATAAGAGAAAAAGGTGTTTTAATAAATAGAGTAAAAATGGTTCCCAAAAAATAGCTTACATTGCATAGAGAACACAGAACATTTATTCAGATTTTGTGGTGCCATCTTTTTATCAGAATCAAGAATCTGACCCACTCCATGTTCTTACAAAATCAGCATATGGATGTGGCTTTACTGTAATTAGTTTTATTTCTTACAGAAAATTGCATTAAAATGCAACATACACAGGAAATTATAATTCTTTAACGTGAAATTCCTGTTTCAGTGTTGTCTGTATCTCATGTTTTGAAATAATTGAATTTAATTTTCATATGATTTATCCTGAGTCCCACAGAAGTAAATTCTGAATCATCAATTGCAGAACCAGAACATATCTTTTTCTGCAGCACTTCTGGAGTTCTGTATTCTGTATTCGATTTCTTTTACCCTATTGGAGTCTTTTCATTATAGGTTTACCTTCATGAAGTCACAGCTTTATCAAGTTTCATGTTTTATGTCTTATTTTAATTATCGTTCAGCTAAAATAGTCAGATTAATGAAGTAAGCATCTTGACTGAAATGCTTTACATTTCATTATCTGCATCTCATGTAATTGGATTAAATTTGTATATTTATCTTTTCTATTTTATTTTGGCATCTACAGCAGGGAACTGAAACCTTGTTTGTAATGACTTATTGAAGTGCTGTCTTTTATTATGGTGCTCTAAATGTGAGAGTATTTGCATGTTAACAGCAGTTCTGTTGTTGAGTCAGGACCAATAGCAGTATATACTGAATTTTTCCTTACTTAACTTTGTGTTTTTATTTCTGTCTGTGCATTGTACTTGTTTTAAGTGTGAGTGTATAGCTTGTACTCATTTTTTACATGTTTGTTTCTGTAATTTTGTGCTTTGTGAAGTAACACTTATTCGTATCTGATTAGGTGTGTGTCTGTTGTTTCAAAACATATAATGTTGTCATTGAAGGAGGAATTGTATTTATTCTCTTTGGTGAAAAATTTGAGCACATTGCATTGTTATGATTACAATGGTCAGCAGGTTTCAGAGAACTGGAGCCCCATCATTTTGATATAATGAAAAAATATATTTTTGATGTTATTGAATGAAAACTGCACACCAAACCAAATAACTTTTAAAAGAGATATTGAAACGCAAATCCAGAATTGATTTGGGTTTTTAAAATTTTCATTGTGGTCCTAAACTGGACAGTATGACTTTGAAATTTTCCATTGGGGAATTTAGTTTGAGCAGAATTTGGCAGTTTTTTTTGTACCGATTAGAAAATAATGTACCCAAGTGGAACACGTGGTAAAAAATTGAACCCCAGAGGTTTAATCTTGTGTGCTTGCTTTTACATGATAATTTGGTACCTATTGTTTTGGTTCCCTTGCTGGATTTTTTAATTATTTTTTAATTGTATTTATTACTTTGACTTGTTTTGAATACCTGCCCTTGTGTAATGTGCTCTGAAAAACATCTTTATAATGACGGTTCATTCATATTCCATCTTATTTTAGAAGTAGGTTAGATTCTGTGCCACTGTTCACTCATTGACTTCCAACTCCAGCATCTAAAAACCTATCCCATTGATATAAATTCATGTATAGAACACGTTTTTCCACATTCCTCTTTATTGTGTGTATCTTTGAGTCAAATTTTAAATTGATAAAGTGACTCTTCACATTAAGTGGTTGAGGAAGATAAAAAATTGTATTTAGAAATCCTATTTAGTTTACCGTATTATTGAAGTTTTGGAAGTAAAGAGAAATTACTCTATCTTTGGTGGCAGGGTATTATTGATCTTCCACATGTCATCCAGCTGTGAAGGACCAGAAACTATTTTCTAATTTTAATGTTGTTCTTCCACAAAAACATAAATCCCTGCCATCAAGTTTATTCAAACTCTGAGGCACAATAGATCCTTTGTTAAGACAGCATTCGAGAAGTAAGATGTGGGTTTATGTACTTGTATATGTAGAGTGCTTTGAAATACTTAGAATTAGGTTTCATCCTGAGAAGGAAATCACATCTTAAATTCAGGTACAGGAGTTTTTTCTATAAATATGAGATGATATACAGTATGCGCAAAATATGCAGTACTAAAACTCGCACGTCTCAAATGCGCATGTGTATTTGTAGACGGGTCATAGATCCAGCCGCACATGTTCCCAGTAGTGAAAAGGAAGTTGTAGGAAATGGGTCTCTCGATGGAGGAAAAAGTTCATAGTTCCACTCATACGGAAGTGGTCACCAGACAATTAGCTTCTTTGGTTTTGAGCGGCCAGATGTTATCGTCCAGAAACCGCTACATAGTACATGTGTGATGATATTGTGTGCTGTCGCAGCACATGGTATATTAGGCCCCTATTTCACTAAGGATGAGGAAGGCAATGCTCTTACCGTCACCCAAGAATGCTACAGGGACATGGTGATTGGACCATTTCTTCAGGATTTGAGAAGGTTCTGTCATGCAAGGGGCCTTCACATGAATAGACAGTGGTATCAACAGGACATATTTTCATTTCATTACTGTATTTTTGGTGCATACTGTACATACATACATACAGAACATTTTACATGTGAAGAGGAATATAAATTTTCTAAAACATTCAGTGAAGAATTGGAAAGGTATTATGAATTTGTCCTTATTGTGCCATGCCTTCAGAGGATGAAGAGTGATAATTGGCTGTGTTTCTTCTCATTCTGGTTGTACAGGAAAGCAAATCTCTCAGAGGACATGGCTGTGCTGCTGCCAGGAGCAAATAAGTAATTAATTCTGACATTATCACTTATCACACCTTCCCATGCAACGTTTCTTTCTATAGTAATGAGTGGAGAATTCATATGCAGATGCAACCTTGCATAAAGAAAGTATGAATACTGATATAGGCTACTTGTTGAATAATATGGAGTGCAGTATTTAAAGGTTTAGTTTATTTTACACTTTTATAGAGTGTAGGTAGATTTCATTAAGGTCAGAGTGAAGTGTGTTACAGATAACTCAGATACAAATGTTCAAAATTATATCACATTGTTGAATAATAATGACTGATTTATATTAGCCAGTGACTGAATATAGTCAATATAAAACCACACACTTTAATGATGAGCTTTTTTGCCTTCTAAAATCTGCACTGTAATTTTATCCATTCAATGTATTACTTAAGTTCTTACACTTTATACATTTTTTGCACAAAGTAAATGAGGTACCGGCTGTGTGTATGCATGTTTGATCTCCAGAATTACTGGACAGATTGTGATTAAATTTTGATTGTCAGTCTACACCAAAGTTCCATGTGAATTTAATTTTGGTTTGTTTTGGTCAAGTATAACCTGTACTTAATTGAAGCTCAGTAGAGCATTTTAATATTTTAAGCAGAACTTTTACAACTATATATATTTTTTCTTCACAAAGTTGGTATTTGGCATAAAATTTACATGTAAGTAATATCTGCAGCTTTTATTTGAAACATTTTTCACTATAGTATACTGGTATATTTAATTAAATATAAGGGAAGTAATTCCTGATTTTATGTATTGATATATTTGTAGCTTTATTAGCTTTCAAATGGTGAGTTTGGTTCTGCAATTGTATTAATTATAAATGAATGCCAAGACCAGTATGTGCAAAATCACAGAAAATACATCTAAAAATATGGATATTCCATTCATGTACATTACTTTAATACTTGCTTGAAAGATCCAAAGCAGTCGTATATTTTAAAATGTTTAATTTTAAATGTAAGGTGCAATAATTTGTTTAGCATAATATTTTAGCACGTGTTTTACCATGTGCAAATAATTTTTTTTTAATTTGCTTAGTGGGGGGTGGAGTCCAACTAGCTCCACTTGGCACGGCAGCCACTGATTGGCCTATTGTTGCCCGCACCAGGTGATTATGATGGAAAATTTGGTGGAATGAAGATTGGCAGGGGAAATCGAAGTACTTGGAGAAAACCCGCACCAGTGCCACTTGTCCACCACAAATCCCACTTGACCAGACCCGGGATCGAACCCGGGCTGCCACAGTGGGAAGCCAGCAATTAACCGCTTGAGCTATGGTGCGTCCATATGCAAGTATCTGCAGGATATGAAAATCTTGAATTATTAACTAGAAGTTTGCTCCTTGATATTGTGAGAACATAATCAGCTTTTGAAAACAGTAGAATCTGAATTTAACACTACATTGGAGGTTGGTGATCACAGTTAATTTTGTCACTTTTTTTTTAACACAGTTTTCCCCTTGAAGTTTTTAAGTTTGTTGGCTCCCGGAATGTATTAAAGAGGATGTCCCTCTAGCTAAGGGCAGGATTTACTGACCAAGTTTTAAAGCTAATCAATATGGACAATTGTAATACTTGTGGTTGCATCTGCATATGATTTCTATTTCCTCTATTTGGTTGGTTCATGGAGTATTTTTCAGCTGTTTTCTTTTTTTCTCTGCTTTTGTAGGAGGTTTCAGCAGTGAGCATCATGGGCTCGTGATATGGCACACAGGATGTTTGTAGTAGTTCACATTTCACCTATTTAGATGTATGCATGTCCACACAGGGAAACCAGACTGCAGATAGTACAGTATCTGTAATATATATGCAATTTATTTAAGTTTTGTTTTGTGTTCGGTTTGTGTTCTCATACATTTGGTGATTCTTCTAGCTTCTCTTTCCCCTCACTTTTTATAGTGGCAAGATATCTCTAATTTACTAAACCAAATATGGTATTATGTTTAGAAAACTTTTGAAGTTAAGGTCCAGTTCAGAATTGTATTTTACTCACAGCTGATTACACTTATTTAACTGAAAATACAGTTCTTTCTTTTTCCTTGGGGGAAGGTTACATTCTGAACAAATGAATGTGTAATATGTAGTTTTAGTAGTTCTCTCCATTCTCTCTCTCTCTCTTTTTAATAAAATGCTTATTTTCCCACGTGGACATTGTGTTTTAATAGGTCGGTGAATGAGCAAGTTATCCCTCTCAAAGTTTTGCATGTCTGTTTTAAGTTATTTGCATGTAGTAGTTTCTTCATCATTTGTTAAAGTTGTGATAGAGTAAACAGAAATTGTGTTTCTTTGTTCATGTATCTTAGCGGATGCTGTATGTAAGCCTATCATAATGTAGCATGAACTACTTCATATGAATATTCTTAAGTTTTTAAAAACTGATAATTATATAGTAGTGTTAAAGAATGCATCGTGATTTTTCAGGAATGTCTTGTTACATTTTGATCTATAAGTTATTAATCTGATATGTTTTATATTTTGATCTACATGTAACTTTGCTACAGTTGTAACATTTATCTTTCTTTTAAATATTTTGTTCATTTTCATCCTAACACATCTGTTTACTGTTGTATTTCTATATGATGATGGATTAGCAATTTTTGTGACTTACCAAGCAAGTTGGCTTAAGTGGTGTATTCAGGAGGTGCCCTGTTTGAATCGTGGCCGGGGTACCAGTTATCAAGACTGATGTTCTTTACGGGTGGCCTCAGTCCTTCCAGGCAAATGCCAGGATATTTCCCCAGTGAGATAGCCATTTCCTGTTGGAACAAATTAATTTCAAGGTTACAGAAACCCAAAATATACCATCCCTTCATTGTGGACTCTGGACTTTGCTGTCTGTACCTGCACGCTACAGCAAGGAATGCCACAATACAATCTTGTACTGTAACTAATATATTTCAGAGAAATTTATACAACATATAACATAAATAATAATATTGAGGGACATGATGAAACCTGTATTATGTCCAGATTCACCACATAATGAGGACCTGTTGTATTAAATTGGCTTCGTACCTCACCCCACAACTGTCAAGATTAGAGTCTCTACCAGTACTTTTTTTGATACAACATGGACCACATATAAAAGGACAGTTCCAACAATACATCTGTTGTGTGTTGATTCATTGTCGCTGTAATGTTTTTCCTGAGTTGTCACCTAGCGACTTTAAGGGGATTTTTACAGAGCTGTTGCCTAGAAATGGTTGGGGATTGACACACAGACTGATGAGAGGGATTTATGAAGTATGCCATTGAGATGGGCTCAGGTACCATGATACACATACCAAGTTTCATAAGAGACTGGTTTAGGCATTCAGAAATTTAAAGGGGGGGGACAACATTGAAATTGCATAACCTACTTTCGTTTTTTCAAAATAAGGAAAGTAGGCTAAAAACTTATGGCTTGAGAAGAAAATGAAGATATCTAAGTAAGAGCTTGCAATGATATTAACACAGAAGAAAAGGGGGTTATTTATGAGGATAGGAAAAAATTATATCAACATTTGTCAAGGCCCCTCTATAAGTAAGGCATCTTTCCTGTTATACCATTTTTTTGCACAAAAAATAAAAATACACTTGGTTGTCGACTTACGACGGACTTCTGTTCTGACTGACAGGTCGTATGTCGGCCATATATTTATTAACAGTACCTTTTTAACCTTTCTAATCTTTTTATCATCGTTATAATTTATTTTTAAAAACTTTTACATTTTTATCATCTTTTATTTTTCATTTTTTGTGGTCGTAAGTGTGGCCGGTCGTAAGTCGACGACCAAGTGCATAAGTATTTATAGCTGTGAAAAGATAAATTATAACATCTATTAAAATGCAGAATGCATTCAGAATTAGCATTTGGATTTGTAATTTTGATTGAACTTACTTTTATGGTGGTCTGGGTATATAAATTTGATGTTAAGGAAATGTAGTTCTACAGAGCAGAGTTTGAAAAATTACTGCCATATTTTACAGGGAACTGGCCATCTTCTCTTCCTCCTCTATCATCATCATCAGTCATCTCTTCATAATGTAGTCAGCCAATCCTGTTCTGACTTCTCATATTAATTCCATCTTTATATGTTGTCATTCGTGTCAGCCTCCTGTTGGTTTATACTGTAGAATTTGTTTTGGTATTCTTTAATTGATCAGTCTGTGCAAATGATTTATCACATTTCATGTTTGTGTACATCAATTTTATTTTGTAATGATTGTATTTTCAGTTCTTTGTTAATGTTTTAATTAGCTGTTGTTTGAAGAATATTAAATATCTAGTACATTTGGATGTAATAAATTTGAAATTCTGTGGATGAATATCATTGAGATTTCGCAGGCATATCAGATTGAGTCAATACAACATTAGAAGTTTGTGTTAATGGAATATACCTATTCGTTTAGAAAATCTTATGAGTTTGTTTTGACAGGAAACTGTGTAGGTAGGTGATGTAAATTAAACTTCAGCACGTATACTTGCTAGTCTGGTTATATCTTCATTGTGACCATGTAACAGTAGGTCCAAAAGTAACATTACTAGAAAATTTAATATTTAAAAGTTATATTGTTTGAGTCTGCTTAGACAGACTGTTGTCATGGAGATTTTTAATAATTTTCCACAGTCTCTTGAAGGTAGTTCTGTGTTTGTACCTTAAATATAGATCATGATTTTATTTTTCCCATCCATAATGACTTGCCATACCAATACAGGGACAACAAAGGTCAGCAGGAAATTCATATAAATATATAGTTTGTGGAATGTGCTACTGTTTTGTTAGACTAAATTAAGGAAGTTTAAACTGCATTTAAGAGTCCCTGTTTGTAAGCCACATGTGAACATGTTATGTTGTGTGACTGCTTAGACTGTTTGTGCTGCTGGCAGATGCCTGTGTGAGTTGGCAAAACAGATTGGGTTCATGGACGAAGCACAAGACGTCTTTAAACTGGAGGAGCAACTTTCCACCTTCAGGCATGTGGTGAGTGGACATCTGACAACTGAGGGTAATTGCAAAATTGTCATCCAGTTTCTTTAATTGGTCTTTGGTATAGGCCCAGAAGCAGCTACAGTGATGTTTTCTTTTACCAAATTTTTGTTATGCAAATATTTTAAAAGGGCCCACCCTTCAGATCTTTTCATAGTTCTCATGCACATTGTATTATGAATATTAATTCGTGAAACATATTCCAAAATACTAACTCTTTCCTTAGAATGAGTATGCTTTAAACAAAATGAAATTTGGTGGTATTCAAATCAGAAAATAATAAGTTGGGTGAACAAAGTCGTGTATATTATAATAACCTATATTAGTGAAAGTTGTTAGACTCTCACCAGTTTAGGATTTAAATTTTTTGCTTGCCTCTATACAAAGTATCTCTAATCTTGCTTTGGTTGATGAATTTCTTTTATTCTACAGTTTATGGAAAAACTGTTGTGCTCTGTACATATACAGTTCTTGTAGTTAATAGTAGAAATACTATTACCGATTTTCTGCAAATTCTGCAGAGTAACTGACTGCATTGGTTAGGAGTCGTTGATTGTTGGTTTTGACTTCGCCACAAGCAATCTGAAAATGCATATTTAATCATACAACTAGAATCATGCATTAATGTCTCTTGGAAATGTATTATGAAGAAAATCACTGAGCTGCCTTCCAGTCAAAGAATCATTATATTAAAGTATAATAAAATGGGATAGTCACCGTCATTCTCTTATGTATGAACGTAACAGGGAAACAAGACAGAGTTCTGTTTATTATAAAATACAAATAGTTGGAAATATACTGTGCAGTATTTTGATGTTTTTTAATTTGATCTTTTGTCCATTCTATGTGAAAAGCAAGGAAATTGGACTGTTTTATGGATAGAGCATGTCCATCTGTTTGGCCAAACATAGTTACAGCTATTATCTTTGAGGTTGCCTTTGAATGGATTTTGATAGCATTTTATGTTGAGAGTCATCACTTACATAGAGGCCCAAAAGTAAACTTTTAAGCCACTTTGGCCTCTCAGGACTGCTGCTTACTTTGACAGCTTAAGTAACAAAATTTGATATCGATATTGATTACTTATTTTGTTCACAGGCTTTATAAAATATTATTTTAGTACAGGACAACATTAGTATTCCCTACTGAAAACCCTACCTGATGGTCCCTTTTTCCTCATGTGTAAAAAATTACAAGAGGGCACTGACAGGTCATGGGCAAGAACTTTACCTTATCTTGCAAGTGAAAGAAGATTTAACTGAACTGAATTACTGCATGTGGACTGTATATTTGATGTCACTACTCAAGATATTCTTTTGGATTATTCCAGTGGAACACAGAAGTGCTAGAAATATGTATATTTTGGTATGGTATTTATTTTATTTATTCTGTCAGGCATATACATTTTGTGCATTTGCTTGGTACTTTCGTTATAGCTTGTTTGGTACAGAAATTTCTCTCCCACAGATTTTTTTTTTTCTTTTAGGGTTATGTCTGGCTTCTTGTGATTCATTTTTATGTTGCTGATGATTCCTCTGTTTGAGTAGCACTACAGTTTTGTTTGTGGCAATTGTGATTTTGGACATATCCTCTCTGAAGTTAAAGCTCACTGCTTTTAGGTCTGCTTGTCTACATTGTTGTGTTTTGTGGCTTACCTGTATATGTAACTGATGATGAGAATTCTTCTATATTGTGGTCTGTTATTTGTAAATACTCTGTATGTACTCAACATCTGTGTAGTTCTGTTTATTCTTTAAGGATATGCTGTCAGAAGTAATTTTGTCCTTATTACCTGATCCTGTATGGCAATTTCAAATCATTTGTTTTGCTTAAATGTAACTTCTGGTAGCCATTTATTGAAGGCTCATACAGGGGATGGACAAAAATATGGAAACACCCAACAAAAAACACATTACCGTGACTAATATTGTGTAGGACAACCTCTGGCGTGCAGAACTGCTTGCAGTCTCCTTGGAAAGGATAAATAGAAGTCCTGTATGATTTGCAAGGGAAACTTGTACCATTCTTCCTGAAAAACACGGTAAGTTCTGTTATTGATGATGGAGGTGGATAGCACGCACGCGGATTGCTCTCCAAAACAGACCACAAAGGCTCTATAATATTGATATCTGGCGATTGTGGGGGCCATGGCAGACGTGACACTTCATCTTCGTTCTCAGAAAACCAGTCCTGGACGATGTGAGCTATGTGAACACAGGCATTGTTGGCTTGGTAAATGACATCACTATTAGGGAACAAAGTTTGCACCATGGGATGGACCTGGTCACCCAAAATGGTCACATAGTCGTTGGAAGTGACGTGACCTTGCAGGGTAATGATGGGTCTGACAGAATGCCACGATATGGCTGCCTATACCATGATCGAACCCCCGTCATGTTTCACTCTTGGCAGCAAACGATCTGGATCGTAAGCTTGGGATGGCGTTCTCCAGATGTAAACTCGGACAGAAGTTGGAAACAGTGTGAAGGTGGACTCTTCCGACCAAATGACCGTCTTCCATTGCTCCATAGTCCAGGTTTTATGACTTCGGCACCACACTGTCCTCTTAGTGGCATTTTGATCACTGATTAGTGACTTTGGAATTGCAGCTCGTCCAGAACTACCCTGCTTGTGGCGTTCCCTTTGTACTATTTTGGTGCTGACAGGGTTTGTGAGCGTGACATTCAGTTCAGCAGTCACTTTTGCAGCTGTAGTCTTCTTATTTTTCGTCACAATCCTACACAATGTTTCTCTGTCTCAATCGCTCATCGCACATTTCTGTCCACGCTGGTGTTTATCGGATGTGGTTTTTCCAGTCCTCCTGTATGAGGTCATAACCTTGGATACTGTTCCTCACAAAACACCTAAAACCTCGGCTACCTTGGTTACGGAAGCACCCACCATATGGGCCGCAACAATTTGCCCGTGTTTGAATTCTGTTAGCTCTGACATGATGCACAAAAAATTGCACAGAACACTGTCTCAACAACAGATGAAGCTTGCAACGTATTGCGGAGGTTGTGCAGGTAGTGGTGTTGGGCAGATACGACAGCGTGACCTACAAACGTTGCTAAAATAAACATTTCAATTCAGGCATGCATTTCACGAGGTGTTTCCATATTTTTGTTCATCCCCTGTATATTTATGTACAGGCATGAAAGTTGGTTTGGGTATTTGCTATTCAGATTTTGTTTCTCCATGCGTTTATTCATTCTGCTTGCTATGTAATCTTAAGATCGGTTGCTGTGTTCACTAAGCTGATATATCCAGCTTTATTACTTTATAGTTGACTTCTTGATCTAAATACGGTCGTACTTGGCTGTTTACCCATAAGCATGTCCATGATTTATTCTGACTGTCTTACAGTGCATACATTTATTCACCTTACTCTTCTCTCTTGCACTACATGTTTCAGCACAAAAGTGCCATCTTCAGGTGCTTTTCGATGCACGTCAAACTACTTCATTGCATGCCCTGTTGTCTTTATACTAAAATAAATAAAATATATATTCATCATATATATTTCAGTTATTTTAGTATAAAGACAACAGGGCATGCAATGAAGTAGTTCAACGTACATCGAAAAGCACCTGAAGATGGCACTTTTGTGCTGAAACATGTAGTGCAAGAGAGAAGAGTAAGGTGAATAAATGTATGCACTGTAAGACGGTCAGAATAAATCATGGACATAAATCAGTGCAACAGGATGCTAAAATATAACATTACCCATAAGCATATTGATGAGGTCTATGAATCTTGTTCCTCCAGCTTTCCTTATGAGAGAGAACTTTATAGTTCAGTCAGAAGCACTTTCCATATTCTAATGCATTTCCATAACACAGCACAAATTTGTAGGATTTGAGGTTCTCACAGCAGTGGTTAAGAAGAGTTGTATCTTTTGGAATATGTGGTTCATTTCTGCCTGCTCAGTGCTGGTTTCTTGCTCTACTTACCCTTCAGACCTGAAGATGGAAGTGACATGTTTCTCCAAAATGTCATTTGACCTTCAACAGACTACGAAGCAATGGAAGTTTTTAGAAAGCATAAATATATTGGTACTTTGTTCTAGTCTTCTCTTGTACTCTGTTATCTGAATAAATAATTTCTGAATTAGTGTAGTATCTGTTTCCAAACCACATTGTTCTAATATGGTCATTGCATTTACTTCTGTGCAGCAACCAGAAGTTGTCCGTCGGGACATAAAGTTTGCTCGTTCGTTATCAATGGCAAAGCTGAAGTTTCCATTTCCTCACATGGTGGCTGTGATCATGCGGGAACAGACTCATGGTGATTTGCAGCTCATGTCACAGGGGACAGCTGACATTATTCTTGACTCTTGTGTTGACTATTGGGATGGTCATGACCTCTGCCCCTTGTCTCCTGCTGACAGGTAAGTTTCATTTTTCCAGTATGAAGGAGGTTAATTTAGTAAAGTAACTACATTCTGACTGGGTGATCAGGATTGAATCAAAGAACGATTGACTCAGATTTTATTTCCTTAGTTTAAATAGGATTTGTTCAGGGACCCAGAAACGGAACAGTGGATCCTGGAAGGCAATACATCCAAGGTTTCACTGTATAAGCTTTGTCACTATTTTCTGGTTTGACATTAGCATTTTCCTGATTAAGAATTCTTTAATTTCTGCAAGTGGATTTGGAGTAGCACATAATACTGTGCAAGAACTTTCAAGTTATGTGATAACAGAAGCAATGGTGATTTCACCATGAGCATATTGAGTATTATTCATAATTGTATTTTGATCTTCTGGATTATGGTACAGTGTTGCAATCTGTGGGTGTGTACTAGGGTTTCAGAAGAATATATTTGCGTTCCTCCATCTTTAGGGTTGAGGTGAGTCAAGTTAGGAAAATGGCAGGTTATATAGAAATACTGTCAAAGGAATGGGACATGTAAGGTATGAGTGGTCAGTCAGAACCCAGGATAAGGAATTTAAGGATAGGGCCTAGACAGGCTAGTGTGGGGACCATAGGCCCTGAAAATGGCAACTACATCAGGATATGAAAATAAAAAGTTAGGGGGAGGGGCCTGCTACTGCAAAGATGGAGGCAGCAGGTTCCTCTGAAACATTGATCCTAGTTACCAGCCTACACAAATTCATATCACAGGAAACTAGAATCCTCTCACTTCAAGAAATACAGACCTGCTTCTGTATAGTCTGCAGCCCTACTTCAGCTGATTTCAAATCATATTTTTCAGGTGCCCTTGAATCGTGTATCACAAATTGTTTGTGTTTCATAGGAAGAAAGTACAGGATTTCTACCAGCGAACCAGCCTTACTGCATACTGCACTGCATTTGCATATCGGCCATTGACACGAGGGGTAAGCAGTCACCTGTCACAAGTGTATCTGGAGCTGCCTGCTGACAGTAAGCACCTGTATGTGCCTCATCGGAGTCCAACGCCACTTGCTTGGGATTTCCGCAGTGTACTGGATCCACATTGCAGAGGAATGCTCGGGCACTTTCACTCAACAGGTACTTGTTCTCGCTAAATATATAACCATCTGCTAATACTGCGTTCTAGTCATGAACATGATATTTCACACGTAATCCTTTACCATCTTAAGTGGCTCCCTTGTCAGAACTGAAAGGCGCATGCTCAGGTTGAGGATGGAGTAGACAGCTTCCAGTTAGTTGTGAGTATATTGAATAAACATTCATGGATAGCTGACAACAGGTGATCTTCCAGATTGGGGGTTGGGCTTGGGACTAAGAACTCTTCACCATAAAAAGAAGCCTGTTGTGATGGTTTCTTTGTAGCAATGTAAGGAAAGGAAAATTATACAGGAATAGGATAGGGTTGTTTGAATTGGATTGATGTGGCTTAAGATAAGGACTGTTGTTATGCTCTTGTGAACATGGTAATGAACCCTTGAGTTCCATAAAATGTGGGGAAATTTTTGAGCGGCTGAGTGACTGTTGGCTTCTCAAGAAGAACTGGCTCCGTGTAATTAGCATAATACTTTATCTTCCATAGTTCCTGTTACTAAATGAAAGAATTGTTCAGATATATCAGGAAATGTTCTGTTTTCTTTACCAGTCTAACACCCATACAGTATAGTAACAAGAGATGACTATGTTTCAATGACTGTTTCTTTTTGAACCATTGCTATGTCTAACATAGCATAATTTTATGTCAGATATACAGGAAAGAAATGAAAACCAAATTAATAAATAATTTTGAGATAAGGTTATCTTTACAAAAACTCAGTCTTCTTAATGCATGCATGACTCTGTTTTTTTTTTAGAATGAATCATGAAAAGCATTGCAATTTATTGTATTCAGATTCTCTTCTTGGAAGTGAAACCCATGAGGAGGACGTGAGTGATGTGGAGGGTTGCTTTGAGCTGCAGTGTAATCAAGTGTTTATTGGGATGGTTACAATGCAATACCAGGCCCAAATAGACATGGTATGTATCGTATGTTATCCATATTGCACCATACTCTTGCCGAACCTCACGCCTGACACAGTTCTCCAATCAGCTGTACAGCAAATTTGTCTTTACAGGTCCAGCTAATAGAACAGTTGGAACGAGCATGTATTCGATTTGTTCACTTCAGTAAGGAGAATGAGTTACGGTCACGAGTGTTCTCAGAAAAGATGGGCTTGGAGAGTGGGTGGAATTGCCACATCTCTCTCCTGAGTGAGCGTAATAGGTACAGTATTTATTACTATATGACTTAATATGCATGTTACCCTGCATTAGAGAATATGTTAAATGTTTGTTGTTCCATCCCATCAGGATCGTGGTCTCTTGATGTGTAGTTACATACTTACTCATGGAGCTCTTCTTAAGGAGAAGCCAAATCTGCAGCTACTGAAGAATTTCCCAGTATTTTATGGAACCTGAAGGTTCATTACTGTGTTCACAAGAGCCCTCCACTGGTCCTTATCCTGAGCCAGATCAATCCATACCATCCCATCCTTTCTCTCTTTAGATCAATTTTAATATTGTCCACCAACCTACGTCTTGGTCTTCCCAGTGGTCTCTTTCTTTCTGGCTTTCCCACCAATATCCTATATGCATTCCTCTTCTACCCTATTCGTGCTACATGCCCTGCCCACCTCATCTTCCTTGACTTGATCATTCTGATTATACTAATTATACAGTACAAGTTATGAGGCTCCTCATTATGCAGTTTTCTCCAACTTCCTGTCAATTCATCCCTCTTCGGTCCAAATATTCTCAACACCCTGTTCTCAAACATCCTCAGTCTATGTTCCTCCCTTAATGAGAGATACCAAGTTTCACGCCCGTACAGAATCACAGGCAAAATTATAGTTTTGTATATTCTGATTTTTATGTTTTTGGACAGCAGACGAGAAAACAAAAGGTTGTGGACTGAATGAACCCAAGTTCAGTCTCCTAATTTGTAGTTACTACATAACAGAATTCTACTTGCTGTTCTTATATGAGTCTTGAATTTCTGAACCAGTTGATTAATATTAGTGATATTTTAAATATATTCCCTTTTTTAATTTTTATTGATGGTATCAAAGTTTTTGTATCCATTACAGTTAGTACCCTAGTACACAAATTTTGGTAAATTTATGTACATAAAATACAAGCATTATTTTTTTTTTTAATTTCAGTCAACTATGCCCAAGAAGGATCTACAGGTAGAGAACTTGCCTTGCATTTGGGAAATTTATGGTTCAAGAGACTGGTTACTCATAGCACACTTTTCTTTCTTATCTCTATATCCTCTAGGCAGATATTTGAATAATACCTTAAAATATGCTACTCTATTTCCTGTCACTTTCTTCCTGACTCATAATGGCATTATTGAAACGTTATGCAATGTAGTCAGTGAAGTTTATGAGCAATATTAAATAAATTAAAAAAGGTCATCAGTGAATTAATGGTTGTATGGTGTGAGTCCAGTACAGTTATATTTGTAGAATGTTATAGAGTTTGTTTTAGAATGTGTTTTATTAGGGTGGTTAGACTAAGGAGGATGATGTGGGTGGGGCACATAGCACGCATGAGAAATAGAGAAGTCATACAGCATATTATTGAGAGAACCTGAAGGGAAGAGACGCCTTGTAAAACCTGGGTATATAATATTGAACCATTTTTTTAAGAAGTGAAATGTGCAAGTGTGGACTGGATTAATTCGGTTTATTCGCAGGCCCTTGTTCTAGTGGTAATTATACTTCAGGTCTTAGAAATGGCAGGAAATTTCTGAACAACTGAGCAATTGCCTGTTTCTCAAGAATGATTCTGGTTCGTGGCATTATATATTATCATCATGTGTAGGGTGGTACGCATGATGAAAATGATGGGTTCTAGTTTGGATGATCGTATTTATTAGCACCTTGGTTACAGGTTCTCTTAATTACACTTAAATTCAGTGCTATCACTGACTTACACAATTTCCAGTTCACTGTGTGCAAACACTAGGATTCTCCGTCTTCACTAGTTGTCTCCTGGCAATGGATCATCAATCACTCTGTCCTAATCTGTACTCAAATAATCTTCACAATTCACAAAGACACCCTGAATTCTTGTCCTTGTACTCTCAACTGCTGAACCCTCCTGGATTCTTTTCCGTGACAGCTTTGTGTCCTTGACTCGCAGCTTCTCAGCTATGATAGACCACAAACGACCTTCACTATCCCCTATAAACCTTCAGCATGGACCCCATAGAAAACACTTATTATTGTATACGTGTTTACAGTTCTGTTGCTTAGCACTGGTCATGATGCAAACCACATTGCAAACAAGCCATATGATAGCTATCTCACTAGTTCATTGGCATGCTGATTGTTGCCTAGCAACGAGCTATAAACATTTGTTCTGTTGTTGCGTGATCTCGCAACAGACTGTTTACCAAGAATCTGTCTTCATGGGAACTTGTTTACCAACCTGTTGCCTAGCAATGGGTGTTCATGTAACAGTACGTTAAACTGAAAGCATTCTAATTCTGAATCAACTTTCAATGGGTTTCAATTTTTAAAGTTGATTTTGTGTTGCAATATGTTACTAGCAGTGAGAGTATAATGTGATGCTGAAATAGTATCTTAGTGCTATACAGCTTTCATCCATTATTAACTACATGTTGTATGTTGAAATGTTCAGAGGTGGGAATTAGTAAGAAATGTTTGGAATGTTCATTAAATTATTAAAAATGGCAGGTTTATCAAATATAATTTGTAATATAATATGAATCATTACTGGTACACATGACTCTGCCAACAGTCTCTAATCCTAAGCATAGAGACTTGAGAAGTTAAAAATCTTTGTTAAAGTAAAGATGTATCTTATGGAACATGATGTATCCATTTTAAAAAAAAAATTGAATGTAGCATCAGTGAAAGTAGAGCTGCAATCATGTGATTTGTAAGAACTGCACACATTTTTAAAATATTAATTTGTTTTTAAATTTTACTTACTGTTTATGTGTAAACCTTAAAATGCATTGTTGTTTGTTAGCCTTACTACAGCACAATGAGAAATATCCACCATGTGTTACACCCAATTGTCATATTATGACCCTTGTTAGCATTGACTTTTGAATGCTTTACTTTACTAACAGTGACATTCTGTGTCCTGATCTACATTAATGTAGCTGTGTATAGGTAGCAACATTTATAAGTAGCTGATGTTGTGTCCATGTTGTCTGTCTCTCTTTGTGTATCCCTAACCTATTGGCGGCACCACAACAGGTCTGACAGTGGCCACTCTGAGACTGCAACTAGTACTGGTGTAACTGCCATGTCTGCTGTGACGAGTGGCACTGCCCCAGCTCACCACTGCTGTCGTCTCTCTTCTTCTCCCTCATCTCTCCCTAAGTATAACACTGACCAACCAGACAGCAACGCTGTTGGTGAACCTGCCCATCACGAAGAACGTGTCAGCTTGCTCAGTGCTCGGTATGTTGCTTTCTAGTACTTGATGCACAGATATGCTTACACATTATTATTTGCATCACATTCATAGGGATCTTTCAGAAAAACAGTTTCTTTCATTGCTATTTCAAACTTAACTTTGCTATTTAGCATGAATGCCGCAGTGTTACTGAAATAGGATGCTAGTAAATAAAAAGCGTTCCAAAGCTCGCATTTATTACACTGTAATATTGGGACACAGTACTGTTAATTTTCTTGGGCAAGCTAGATTCTGAAGAGTACTCACTGTCTTCTGGGATATAACGCCATATAGTCTATTGAAAGTGAACTGATGTTTAGGAAAGACATATTTCCTCCATCTTCAGGGTCAAAGAATAAACCAAGCTGGAAACCAGCATGAAAACAATTGACAAGCAGAGCAAGAAACCGGAGTGCTGCTTGCCACCTGCTTTGATGGTGTTACCTTTCTCAGCTTATTCATCGACCCTGAGGATGTAGGTGATATGTTTCTCAAAAATGTCGGTTGACTTTCAATGGATAACAAGGTGTTACATCCTGGAAGACAGAACTCTTTATAACCAATGCTGTGAGAACCTCAAATCCTGCAATTTGAAGTTGTCCCTGTGCTCAATTGATTAAGCATCACACCATGAAGATGTATGGGCTAGCTCCACCATTCTTAAACTTGGCACTGGATGAAGATAAATGGACAGCTTCACATTGGTTGCTTTGCTCCCAAGTACCCTTTGGATAGGAGGCTGGGTGGGCCCAGAGACGGTCTGGACACTGGAGTAGAGAAAAGTTTCTTACCTCAGCTGGGAATTTAACCCCAATTATCCAGCATGTGGCCTATTGCTAGACTGAGCTACCTTGACTCTCATTATCTTCAGACATTTATTAAATATCCACAGAAAATTATTGTAGTTGTACTTTCTTTTTTCATATTTTAAATAATTGTTTCCAAATGTTTTGCAGTGAAACAGTATTTCCTGCTATCACCGTACAGAATGTGACATACCAGTACTTCACAGCAGTTTCTCCATTTGCTCACTGTGTGTCCTATATAGAACTTTAAATTTAAACTATGGTTCTTTTTTCCCAGTTCTAATTACATGCCATGTTATCATTGTATTATCATCATCCACTTTTGTCTTAACCAGATCAGTTAGTAATTATATGACACCATATAGACTATGAAGAGTGTGTAGTTCTAATACACTTGGTCACGCCTAGCTACAGCATTTGTAGAATGAAAAGGAAAATAAATGTGAGAGCCCTTAAAAATTTTTCCCTTTATCTTTTACGCTTTTTAGTCACACATCTACAGAAACAGGACTTGAACCCAGATTCACATAATTAACAATCAGTGCTGTAACAGTTAAACTAATGTGCATGCTGTTGTTAGTCTCATAATAAAATAATTGTTAACATTAAAGACAGGTGTCAAATTATTAACAATGGTGGATATGGTAACTTGATATTTTGTGTTAGACTGAATGAATATCAGGCCACTGCATAAGAATGAGATGTTGCATGCTGCTGGATATTGATGCCTGCATATGACTTCATTATGTGTGCCTGTACAGGTGTGTAACAGAATTGACTAAGCCGTAGCTGTTAATCTACATATGTATGTGTAGCCGAAAGAATTATAAAAATGATACTGCTTTAATGTTGATTGGATTAAATTGGTTTTTGGTTGGATACTGTGTGATGGTGGGTCTTGTTTTTAACACTACTGAACTTTCAGATTGATTCTGGTACCAGAAAATTAATTGGAAAATTAATTATTTGTAATTTTAACCAAACTAAGAGATGGTGTGTGTTGTATTATGGCTGAAGTAAATGTAATTTGGAATGTGATACATGTTACACTTTTTGTTTATTGTCATTCCTCTTTAAGAAAGTCAAACAGGTTTTCCCATTTAATAATTAACTAATCTGACAGAGTTTACTCTTCATAGGTTTTGAGAGTCTCATAGCAGTGCTATGCGGTCTGTCGAAAGTCAACTGATGTTTTCAGGAATGTGGTGCCTCTATCTTCAAGGTTGACGAATAAGCCAAGCAAGGAACCAGAATGAAGCAGAGCCCTGAATATTGAGGCATCATCTTTGTATTGTATTGTATTGGAGAGGGTGGGTTTCCCCATGCACTTAGACCAACTGTTGGCCCATTGTGCGTCCCCCTATGATATTCTACCAGTCTCTATTCCATACCGGTACTGGTGCAGCCAGCGAGTTCGGCCTCTACTGGCTCAACGGTATCTTGATGCTTCCCCCATCTGCCAGAGGCGTTAGAGACTACTGTTGGGTGGGAAATGTCCTGAATTTGGCTCAGTGGTCCCCTTGGGACATGAGGTTCTTTTATGTGCCGTAAAGCTACAACACAGGACCCATGGCTCATATCCCCTCCCGGAGGACTTGTTCACTGAATTTTTCCGCCCTTAAAAATTCCACGACCTCCGCCACGTTTGAACCCGTGTACCTTGAGTCACGAGGTGGGAACGTTACCCCTAGACTATGGAGGCCGCTGAGGCATCATGTTCCTTGGAAATGTCAGTTGACTTTCAACAGACTACATGGTGTTATATCCCAGAATACAGAACTCTCCAGAATTCACACTTCGTTCCACATACTTCTCTTCATGATTCCCCTGCAATAATACTGAAGTTCTAAATAAATAGTTCCCACCATCTTGTACAGTCTTGATTGAAACCTTATGAGATTTAAGATTCTTACAGCAGTAACTATGAAGAAGACTGTCTTCTGGTATAACATCCCAGAAGAAAATATTCTTAAAAAACCTATTGGATCTCACACTGGAAGAAAATAAACAGAAATAGCAAACCATACTAATCCGGATTAATTGGGGGGGGGGAGGTCATCTGGATTAAGCAGTAATCCAGATTAGTGAAGTAATGCAAATGAAGCAGTATAAGCAATAACACCTGCACAACTCAGGGTCAACAGTGACACTGAACAACACACAAAACAATGTAATGTATGAAGAAAGCAGTCTTCTGGGATTTGGCACCATGTATAAGTGGTGTTAACACCACTTATACACGGTGCCAAATCCCAGAAGACTGCTTTCTTCATAGTCACCGCCGTGAAAGCCTCAAATCTGACAATGTAATGTATGTTCATCTCTCTCTGCACAGAGTGACCCATCTGCCTTCCTAAATGCCACGTGTCTCACGTATGTACTCAGTTGTGAACAGCGTTTTTCATACTTTGATCTGCATTATCCAACATTCGGATTAATTGTTACTGGATTAGCAAGGAAGTTAATTTGGTTTATATGTAGCAAATTCATCCATTCAGCAACAGTTGTTTAGTATGACATGAATCAGCACCTTATATCAATCCATGTGTATTGAAAATTAGAGAAGATCCATCTAGGAGAAATCAGAGAAACACAATCATAAATGCCATCTGATGGACATTCTCAGAATTCAATAACACAGGCAGCAGGCCATCATATTTATAGATACAAAGTAAATAAACAGTACTTTTTAAATGTGTAAAAGAAACTAAATCTTGCATGACTTTTCAATTTTTGAAGACAAATTGCAGGATTCTGGGGACTTAATTTAATTCTGTATTTCAGGATCCTGTTGCAATTGTTTAACTTAACGCCCATGTATTTATCGTCCGTCAATATTGCAACACTTGTTTTATTCATCACTAAATCATAATTTTAGTTTAACATTTTACACTTTGACACAACATGTTTTGGCCCCAAACAACCATCTTCAAGTGCCTTGTTATGTTACAAATATTTTATTAAATTATGTTAAAACTGCTACTAGTAAAGACAACACCACACGCTGTGGAGGAAACACGCAAACCAGGGCCATATTGCAGATATAACTGAAAAGTAGGCTAAGAATGTGAAGTGCAAGCTGCCAGAATGAAACACCTAGGACAGACATACATTTATGAACAATGGATGATACCCCATGTTAGGTGAAATAGAATGCACCAAAATAACGTGGGTTAATAGAAATTTTAATGGATTTTATCTTGCTTTACCTTGAAAAGAGAACTACAGCATGTGCTTTTAACACAAACTAACACAGTGTAGCAGTTTTAACATAATTTAATAAAATATTTGTCACATATCAAAACACTTGAAGATGGCCATTTGGGGCCAAAACATGTTGTGTCAAAGCGTAAAATGTTAAACTAAAATTAAGATTAAATGGTGAATAAGGCAAGTGTTGCAATATTGATGGACGATAAATACATGGACGTTAACTTAACTTAATGTACATATTATTGGAGGAACCATGCAATATTTCATAATATTGACAGTATTTTACTGTTCTTACAGCACCAACATTGGAAACTCCCGTACTCTAAGTTTCTCTGCTCCAAGTGCAATCAACCTAGAGTTCTCACAAGTTAAGTTTGAAGAAGAGAAACGTGACTGGATTGATGAGTCACTGCCTGACAAATCTGCCACAAACCACAGGTGACTAGTAATGGTGTGCATATTATTTAAATGCTCTTAATTAAATTCTGTCCAGTTGTTAATACAAAACAAATGTTCATGTTAAACAGGAAGTGCTGAATTTTGTATTTGATATAATGATATAATATGAAGCTTTATTAACTATTTTGTTCTACTTGGGTGTGTTCATTATTGCTTCAGTCTTGGCATGAAGAAGTTGCATGAACTTGATCTTTGCATCATTTGCCAAAGTACTACTAGTAGTGTTATTCTAAAAGGTTTCCATATTTTTCTTTGATTGTATGTTTTATTTCAGCTTAATACCATTAATGTTGTTTCTGTATTTTGCTTTTCCAATTTGCTTATATATTTTGGGATTCTGAGTCTTTCTCAGTGCTTCCCTTATGTAATATTGTTTTGTGTGTTTGCTATAATTGCATGGGTGTTCTTTTAGATTGTTATATTTTACACAGTGTGAATACAAGTGTTAAAGTAGGGCAAAAATTCTGATATATAGTGAAAGAAAATTTTTAAAGATTTTAATATTGTATTATACAGAGTGGATGTCCAGGTTGGGGGTTGGATGCAAGGCTGACAACCTTGCATCTGTAAGAAAATTATTGTTGCAAAATATGAAGAAGTGAAAACTGGATGGTCTAATTCATGACAGACAAGTTTGGTAGATAGGAAGGCCATGCCTCAAAAAGTGATGTTTTGCCAATGATAATAATTATATTATAACAAACTATGTAAAATTGTATAACTCTCTGCAAAACATTACAGTGTAAAGGAGGCACTGAGGGTGGCTTCATAAAGCCACAATACATGTGCGGCTGTTAAAGCGAAAGAGTGAAAAAGTATTGATAGTAGTCATGTGTGTGAGTTCTTTGAATATTCAAAATTGGATTGAGAAAAAGATCTTGATTTAAGCATTGATTTTTCATTCTTAGACTTTGAGAATTTTTAGATAACTGCTCTTTCTTTGCTCAGTAGCATACAGACTGATCAACTGATCACAATCATAATGGTTGGCTAGACTAGCACAGAATTATTAGAATTTTTCCAAATTTTCACCTTGAACTGAAAACAGCATTCTCACACATGCCACCCATTGTATGACATTAAAACAGAACATTCTACTACAATTAGGCTATACATAGTACTAAATAAAGTTTCTGAATTTATGATACATAGCTATATCAGTTTTCAAGGTCATGGTATTAAGAATGTTTGAACCTCTGGGTTTTCTTATTGGAAACTTTGTTAATTACTTAATGAGATGAGAGGGTGACAGCATATGGTGAAGTGGCAAAAACTAGGGGGGCATTGGCAAATTTCATGATATTAGATCAGCATTCACTTGAAACAATCTAGAAACCCCTGAAAAATCTCTCAGGATAACTGATATCCTGCACAAGGCTTACATTGGGTACCTCCAAACACAAGTCAGACATGTTATTCCTTGTACTGAGTTTAATTCTGTGGCTGTACTGCTTGCTTTTATTATAGCAAGGATCATCAGAACCATGGATCAAGTCAGGACAGTGTTCTGTTGCACAGCATGGAACTTCCTTCTCAGCAGGACACGTGGCGCTCCCTCAGCTGCCTTACAGACAGCACTGAGCAGAGTGCACCTATCAACTTTATCATGTCCAATCGGGTGAGAATTGTTCCTTGTGAATAGAGAAATTTCTTTTGAATGTAGTGTTTTTACCATTTATGCCAAGTTTGAAGTCAAATAATTTATATGTGGATGCATACTGACGTAACTTTCAATGCATTGTTTAGATCGTACTCCAAATAGAAACATTAGATTTTAATGGTCATACATCATAGCAGGTACTGATGGCATTTATATTGTTCCATAGTACTGGCCATAAAGACTGCAGAGTTTTTGCTTGAATGAAATTTTACTACATCAAAAAATATTTTGGAGATAAGTCATACATTCCAGTGAGATATACATTTAATGTCCCTGTACATTGTTACTAGTTTTATGAAAGTGTTTTTCTTATTTCTTTTTCACTGTTTTTCTGTCCTAAAAGAAAAATATAAGCTATGCTTTAGTTGGTGAGTTGTTCAGTCATTTGGTTGGTTGGTTGGTTAGTTACTTAGTTATAGACCTGAATGAGCATGTAATATATTATTGGTTTGTTTTTGTATGATGGCCATACTTCCAAGACTGTAGGACAGGTAGTTAGGTGCTGGCTTTGTACCACAGAGCAGTGGTTTTAGTCCCAGGTGACGTCAAGTGAGATCTGTGTGGTAAAGTGGCAGTGGAGCATGTCCTTTGTTTTCTTTCCTATCCTTTTGTGTACACGTATATGTGTGTGTGTGTTTTTTTTTAATTTATAGTTTCTTGGTTTTCTGTTGCTAGTCAGCATTCCATTACTGCTCCACACCCATCATCACCCCCTGGGATACGCATCAGCCCTGACCAGGCAGTACATTATGACATCCCTGCTCATTAACTTCAAGGCTTCTTCTCTGACCCAGCATTTGCTGGTTACTGAAACTCCATGGCTTTTAGCCTGCAAGCGAACTATACCAACTGAGTGACTGCCACTTGTCAACGAAATTAGTGCCAGTTTTCGAGGATAGAGGCTGTTGTATGACCATTAATATCGGTTTTCTAGACCAGAACCACTATTTCCTTGAAATAGCTCCTCAATTATCCTCATGAGGCTGAGTGAACCCCATTCCAGACCCACTGCTTCTCAGAAAATCTGGTAGCACTGGGAATCAAACCCGGGACCTCTGGATCTGTAGCCAGCAACTCTGATCACTAGACCACAGAGGCTGTCTTTGGCTGGTTACAGAGTAAAATGTAAAAGTAAAGGTATCCTTCTAACAGGCCGTGGAGGCCTTAGGGTTGTGAGATGTTGAGGTTCCCACATTTTCTAGATAGTCGGCTCATAGATGGCGGTAAGGTTGTCAGCCCTACGTGTCGGCCACACTTTACTCCCCAGGAAGATTCCTGGTACTCATTTCTGTTAGAAGCTGAGTCGACCCCAGGACCATAGTGCGGCTGGAAGGATTAGGTCAATTGAAACAAATCCAATGACCACATCGGGATAAAGAATTCTTTTTTCGTTATAAAATTCAGTCTGAGTTGAAAGAACGTCAATGGATACTCTTCGTTATACATCTTTCTGATCTTGTTTCCTGAAGATTTGTTGCTGTTCACTGATGAACCCTGGAGTTAGGTTTTAGATTAGTGAGGTCTACCATCAGCTGCATTACATACAAGTTTGTTATGGAGAAAATATATTTGTGAGGAAGTTCTGTAACGAATAAGTTGGCATTACCCATTGCAAACATCAGTTTTCCCCATTTTGCCTTTCCCCTGTTTTAAGATCTTCACTATATAATTCAGATAAAATGTTACTGTCAGAAAGGGTATGCTCTTCCTTTAATGTAAAAAAAGACTGTCACAAAATTAGGCATACATAAGAAAGTATTACTCATCTTCTTCAGTTAACATCTAAGATTCGGACATTTGGCAGTTATGAAGATGGTGGTTTCAGGCAAAGCTGCCTCGAGGGATTGACAAGATACGTCCCCATCTAGAGCAGATAGACAACGTTCCACTCTTAGTGTCACTGTTCACTGATTGTACACCTTCAGCGACCCGGGAAATGCTCCACATTATGCAGGAGTATGGAGAAGTGGTCTGTGTCATTGGTTCCTCTGCCAATGCAGACAACATGCCCATTTTTCTACAAGCAGATGCAAGGTATGTAATATCAGAAAGACTCATGTTTATGTAACCTTATGTAGAGAGTTATAAAATATAGCACAACTGTTACATACACTGGAATTTTGTTTAATGTTCCTTGATTTGAGGTTTTCCTGCATTTAACGTTCAGTTTCAAGAGTTCAAAGTAACTAATTAGACTCACTGTTAAATTATCTCCACTTAAGATTTTCCTCAGTTACATGTTTGAATCCACTGCTACAAAAAGCAATCTTAAATGGGTGTCTAACTGTAAATCCACATGTAACAGGGATAATTGTGATATTCTGCATGAAATGCACACATCCTTTCATTTCATCAGTTGAAAGCTAGTTGTGCAAATAAACTGATACTGATTCTCTTCATGTGCTTTCTAAAATTCCAGTTTATACTAACGGTAGCATGTATGTTGTAATTGGTCAGTCAGTGGTCAGAGTCTTACTCATATCTGACATTTAAATTTTACTTTGCCTGTTGAATGTGTAAAAGAATTAGTCCAGTGGAACACATGGTTGATGTGCCTATCTGCTGTACATCATCAGGAGAATTCAGATGGCATAAAAGCATGTCGGCCCTTACAGTATAAGTTATTCATACACTTAGGTAAAATGATTCAATAGGAGATAGAATTCTTGATGATCAAAAATTCTGAAGATATTGTCACGTGTTGCGTGTATACGCGAGAAATAACTTCACGCCTTATTGGATATAGCGAATTTTATTTCACATTCGCTCTTACAATCACACAATCTACAGATTCACAACTTCTGCTATTTGCAGTGTTACAACCACTTGGCTGCAATTAACTGGTGACCGACTCTCTGGCTAACTCGTAACTCGTAACTCGTAACTGGCTAGATTCCAACTCGCTTCATCGGCTGCTGCCTTGAGAACTGACTTCATAGGCTGTGTAGTTCCCTTATAAACCCTCAGCCAGACAACGGGAAACATCTCGCTTCCTTGTTGCCTAGTTGCCGTGTTTGCCGATAGCCTAGCAACGCTGTTGGGAGTTCTTTACGGCTATGTAGAAACTGCGGCGTCCCATGTTACGTAATGGGTACCGCTGTTTACTCGCTTTGCATAGCGAGCAGCATGCTTGGACTTGGCTCACTTCAGCTCCGCTCGGCATGTCACCGCTGGCGGGGAGGGTGTCCTCCATAGCGCAGCACGTCACACTATTATGCTCTTGTATTTCATGACACTCGTGAAGGATTTGTTTGATAGGGTTAGTAAAGAATTCCTTCTTTATTTGCTGTTGACAAATGTTCCAATTTTTTTTTTTGTGTTGATCCAAGTAGGCTGATGCCTTGCTGCCCAAAGAGTTGACTACTAAATGTTTAAGGGATTCACTCTTTCAAAAGTAATTCTAGATTAGTACAGGTCAGCAGAAAAAAATAATAATTTGTAACTTACATGAGTGTCTTTACTGTCCTTATTGCTTTATTAGTTATTGTAATTGTGTTACCTACAGTCAGTGTTCCACTGTATATGTCACTTTGGGTTGTCTCCTTCAGCACCGTTGTCTCATTATCATTATAAACAGTGCTGAGAGAGTTTATTAACCTTTTTCAGTTTTCCAAAATTAAAATGTATGTTTTATACATGAATATTTCTGTATAAAATGTCTTGAATATCTAATGTTCAGTTGTTCTTTGGTATGGGTTATGTCATGTCTCCCTTTACAGCTTAGCAGTAGAACCATTGTATCCTCAAGTGTGCCAGAAGATTGCTGTGTTCAAAGAGACTACCCCTGATCAAGGTCCGTCACCTGTCGAATTGAGTCGCAGTCTTAACTCCATTGCTTGCTCCATCAGTTTTCGGAGGGAGGACCCTATTTCAATTTTCCACCTCATCATGGAGGTGAGTTGTGCTTTGAAGAGTTCTAAATTCTGGGATACAATACTCTATTGAAAGTCAGCCAATATTTCACCTCCATCTTCAGGGTAAAACAATAAGCCATGCAAGAAGCTATCATGAAGCAGGTAGAAATATTATTATCCATTTTCATGCTGGATATATCTCGAATTCTTCTGTCTTTCTTCTCTATATTTTTGTCTGAGTGAAATGCTGCAGCAGTAGTTTGTAATAAACCATAATATTATATAAATCACTGTGACATGACACCTGAAAGCTGGAATGGCAGAGCTAGGCAACAACTCGGTAAACAGGTTCCTGCAACAAAGAATAAACAAGCAACACCCTTGAGGTATTGTTGAGCTATAACAATGGAAATAGGTGAGGGTGATTGTGGAGCAATTGGTGAAATGAAGATTGGCAGGGGACACTGAAGTACTCGGAGAAAACCTGCCCCAGCTCCACTTTGTCCACCACAAATCCCACTTGATCAGACCCCGTGATCGAACCCAGGCCGCTGCATTGGGAAGCCAGCAACTAACCACTTGAGCTGTGGCACGGCCCATGTGCAGCGTAAGTTATCCCATGTCAAGAATCTCAACATTCAGTTTTCTCAATTTAAGATATTCAGTTTAGATTTCAAATCCAATGTTCCCCAAAGAAACCATAAATGGTGGTTTCATTGTATGCCTACGAATTTTGTATGAAACATTTTTTCTGCAGTAACAGATAGAACAATAGTGGCATCAAACTTTGAGGTTATATAGGTCAAATTTAATGTAATTTGAATTTATATGAGTGAGGCCTACACACATTTATTAGTTTATAGTTTTGGTAGCCTCACAATACAGACTGAAAGCATCACGAGTTCTTCCCAGGACTTCATTTCCCCCAAGTTTACTAGATTACAGTATGTTTATATGTTGTATTACAGTCCCGCCATTACATGCAGTGTGTTTGGAATTGTGTACAATTCTGGGTGTGCTGTGGTGTAACAGTGAGTGCAGTACAGGTGCTTGGGATCCTCCTCATGCTGCCACCTCTCCTCAAGACAGGATCTGTGCTGTGGTTGGTATGCCTGGTTGTCCCTCTTCTCTCACTTTCTTTGGTTACCAACCCAACAGACCCACAAGTCATGCAGCGTGCAACTGGCAAGAATCAGTGTGTTGTTGATGCGCAGGCAAGTCACATTTGTGATGTATATGTGTAATGTATTTATTACTTTAATTGTTTCTTGCATCCTGTTGTGTATTTAATCAATATTAGAGTCAATTTTACCGACCACACAACATATTTTTATTATTATTACACTACATGTTTCGACCTCAAGAGATCATCCTCAGGTGTAAGAACACAGCTGTATAATTACACGCAATCACATTCGTCTTCTCACTTATTCGATCCTGTATCTTATTCAGGCCCATGCTCAATAATATAGCAAGCTCCTCTCACAAAACACAAGTTAAAATATTATTCTAAATGTCAAAAGTTAAAATTTAAAATTTGTGAATCAAATTTCAATTCAGATCACTAGTTATGCTTTCACTTTCACTTGTATTCAGTCACTTCCTACTTACGGTCATCACTGCGTCAAGTTCACTTTAACTAGTTTAATTATATTATTGATTAAATGTTCATGAATTAAAGTTCAATTTTATTATAGATTGCACTTTTTCACTTTTGGAGTTCTTGCTGTTCTACTGCGTCTTCTGAAGTTGTGGATCTGTTAACGGTCCATGTCGTGATGGCTACTGATTTATTAATGTTGAATCTGACTTTAATTTCTTTCATTTATGTTTCATATTATGATGATAATGTGTTGCGATGGTCCTTGGGATGACTCTCTCTTGGACTTTTTCAGTTGGTAAAATGCCTGACTATGGGCTGGATGGCTAGGGTTAAGTTTCTGGCAGAAGTAGGGATATTTGTTTTTGCCACCTGATCCAGACTGGTTCTGTGGCCCACCCAGCCTTCTATCCAGCAGGTGCCAACATCTCTTTTCATAGGTGTAAAGTGGCTAGAGTGTAATGCTAAGCATTCACCTCCATCTGGTGTTACTCGTAACATTAAGAATACATGGAGTTTTATTTTCACTCCCCATCTCTTTATAGCTTGATACCTAGATGTGGACACAGACCGTACTGTTAATTGCATTTGTATACAATGGTGATACTCTCTGTTTGGCCAGCCTGTTCCTTTGCATAGCCCTTGAGTTAAGCAGTGTAATACAGTTCAGAATAAACTTATTTTGTATGAGGGATAAAGGATTTTCAAGTAGAATTCTTGTCTAGGAGTTGTCAGTGTTCTCTGGTATCTTTTGCTAAAGTAGTTATGTCATTTTTCGAGAATTGGTGGCTTAACTCTGAGAGATAGCGGCCTCCGTAGTCTAGAGGTAACGTTCCCACCTCATGACTCGTGGTACGCGGGTTCAAACCTGGTGGAGGTCGTCGAATTTTTAAGGGCGGAAAAATTCAGGGAACAAGTCCTCCGGAAGGGACTTTAAGCCGTGTGTCCCGTGTCGTAGCTTTATGGCACGTAAAAGAATCTCATATCTCCAAAGGAGGTCACTGAGCCAAATTCAAGGACGTTTCCCGCCCAACAGTAGTCTCTAATGCCTCTGATAGATGGGGGAAGCATTATAGATACCGCCAAGCCAGTTGATAACTCGCTGGCTCGGTCGGGACTGATGGTTGCATCAATATCGGTAGGTTATAGAGACTGGTAGAATATCATAGAGGGAAGCACAATAGATCAAACTGGTCGCGGTGCATGGGGTAACCCACCCTCTCCAATAACTAACTAACTAACTAACTAACTCTGAGAGATTACTTTTAACAATAAACTCAGTAACAGATAAGCTCTTATCAGCTGCATAGAATTAAATTCTGACTGCACAAAATCAAGCTCTTTTCTATAAAGAGTAAATATTAAACTAGAATGTTCTTTATATTATAAATTTGTAGTTCCTGTTGCATTTCCAATTGAAATTTCATCATCTAGGTAAAATGGAAACAATGGGGAATATGGGCATAATGTTTGCTCTATTGGCAGTTGGTTATAAGTTGCAGCATGACTTGTGGCACTTGAAATGTGTCACCCTCATTAGATTTGTATTGAATACCACTGGTATCAGAGATAAAGTAAATTTATAATAAGTGTTGAGAATAAAGATTCAAAGAAATGTAAACAATTTGAACTCACAGGAAATTAGAAGGAGCTCCATTCTTTCCTGTGGTCACTTTGTATAAGTCATGATTTACAGTAAACTCCATTGTACCAATAATGTATAGGGAATAAGGTGTGCTGGTTATAAGAATCTGCCACACACATGAGAAAACTTGTAGAAATGCAGTACAGAGTCAAAAATAGATCAGTCAAGGTTGCCACTTGTCAAGGACTCCTGCCTTTCTCTTGAATCTATACCCTAACATAAAAATTGTAACTGCTCTTCAATTTAGAATATTTTATCTGGAAATGAATTTAACTTATCATAATGAAATGAGATTTCATCAGTGTTAAATTTATTGCTGGAATAGTTTGTAGTCTAACCTGTGTTGTTAACACATAAGACTTAAGTAAATTCTGCTGTTTTGGTAAAATGGTGCTCATACAGTACTGAAATCTCTGTACACTGAAAAAGAAACTATGGGTACTAGTAAGAAAAAGTAAAGTTAAATAGACTGCACAAGTTAATTTCATGCAAGAGTCTTTCCTAATAATGTCTGATGCAGGAAGCACACAAAAGAACTACCACAAAATTAACTCCTTTATTATTTATTTGAAGTCATTTCTGACAGGACTGAAATAAACTTTGACCTTGCCCCAGAACCAAAGTATCAAAAACCCTGTGTTGTCATTAGTGTCACTTCTGAAAGGGGAGTCTTGCAAGTACCACCCCATTAATAAAGTTAGTTACTTCGATTGCTGTTAAGTTTTGTAGGACTTAATTACAAATTGTTTTATGCATGTTTTATGGCATTTTCTTGATTTGTTTACTTCTTTATGATGGGAGGGACGCAAGAAGTGTAAACCTATAAAATAATTGGTCAGAATTGTTTAGAAGCAATATTGTATGAGATTTGATGTTCTCATGCAGTGACATTGAAGATTACCATCATCTTAAAGAAGTTTCCCTACTTTTCAGAGGAACATGCTGTCTCCACCTTCAGAGTAGACCTGAAGATGGAAGTATCATATTCCTCTGAAAAGTAGGTAAACTTCTACCAGACTACATGATGTCACATCCCAAAAGACAGTGATCTTCAAAAGTAATACTGTATATTGTTTTTGTTACTGTGAAACAAACTTACGGGTTAGAATCTTGAAATATGACAACATAATCTGGTACAGCCTTGCCTGCTTGCATACCTGAACATGTCACCATCAGATTCTTGTTATACTACCACAGCCAATAAGTTCATGGAATGGCCGCAGAGCCAATTTTCCTGCCAGTATGTTCAGCAATGTTTTTGGCAGCTCTATCGACATTGGCAGACTTGCATAGTGACCAATGGCAACTATTTTGAGGGCCGATGTGGATCTGCATAAGTGTATGTGAATACCTTGTAATACGATGAAATAAAACCACATTCCACGAACTTAATGACTCTACCACGTATATACTAATCATTGCAGTTGAGGATGTTATTAAACAGTCTAAGAATCTGAATGTTCTACAGTACAGCGCTGTTTATCCAAATTGCCAGTTAACCAAATCAGTGCAATCAAGGAGCACATCTGCTAAACAGACATCATGAGTGGACTCTCTGTCTGAAAATGTTAATTTATAATCGCATTAATTTTTCATGTTTCACCTCTTAGAAAAGTTTTTTTTAGCTTTTATTAGTATAATAGTGTTGTAATAGTTTTTCATGGATAAAAATTTATCCAATTATCTGAACTTGAGATTATTTGAACCACCTTTATCACTAATTAGTTTGGATAATCGGCATTCTACTGTGGTTTTACTGTTCCAAGAAATTGCTTGTCATAATAAAGTACTATACGTCAAAATTTGGTATTGCAGTAACATGCAGTATTACACACTACTCATTCAGTTATGAAATTATTTTTGACATATATTTGTATTTGCAAGTAATATTAAAAATGTCATATATACATGTGTTTGTGTGTGTATACAGGGTGTCCCAGGAGGAAATGTCAGTTTTCTGGGAGGCCATAGTATTGGCCATTCTAGGCAAAAAAGTGTATATATGCATGTCCTATTCTGAACAGTTTCCAAGATAGAGCTGTTTCCCTCTACAGATGAATAACATGTCATGTCCTTATATGAATTGCAAAGTGCATTGATATTGACAGTGGAATTTTCAGAAATGTATTACACTAGGTAAATTGTACCAACTTTGTCACCTGAACAAGAAATTCTGGTTTTAAAAACAGTATGTAATATCTCTTTCTTATTAACAATTCTGGAACTGTACAGTGAAATAGCTCTATCTCGGAAACTGTCTGGAATAGGACACATGTACATGTACACTTCTTTTCTTAGAATGACTGATACTCTGACCTCCCAGAATATTGACCTTTCCTCCTGGGAAACTCTGTATATAGATATAGATATTTTATTTTTATTTTATTAACCATTGTCTGTGTTCACAGATTTCAGTGTTTGTGTTATGGTGCTATGGTTCCAAGTTCCTGCCAACCATATTCATAGTTCTACTGTTTTACACCGTTACATTATCCTCCTTGTGTGGAGAAATTGTTATCATTACAAACACAACTTGCACCATGGTGTATCCCATGCCGGCAGTCAGTGTTCCTCTGGAACGGTGGGGAGGTTGGGACAGATATCAGTACAGTCTGCTCACATCACAACATGCCGCACTTGTCCTTCTGGTGCTCCATTTTGGTAAGACAGATTATGTGCAAATGTACATAGCTCTATATTACTGCTATATATTCTTGGTCCTGACAGCAAAGTAATACAGCCCTAATATAAGCTTTTGTGTGCGCGCGTGTGTGTGTGGACTGACAACATATACGTATCAGTTTTCTGAGTTTGATGAGAATGGGCATCACAGCAGGATTTGCAGACTCACAGAGGACTCCATACATGCAATACAATGAATGTTTTCAGTGAGGAAACTATATCAAAGAAATTACGTTATATCAATTCACCTAATCCTTCCAGCCGCACTATGGCCCTGGGGTCAACTCAGCTCTTACAGAAATGAGCACCAGGAATCTTCCTGGGGGGTAAAGGCCTGCCTGTGCATAGAGCTGACAACCTTGCCGCCATCTATGAGCCGATTGTCTAGAAAATGTGGGAACTTCAACATCTCACAACCCTATGGGCCTCCACAGCCTGTTAGAGGGATAGCTATCCTTTTACTGTTTACTTTTTACTCTGTAACTAGCCATTGATAGTCCTTTGTAAGTATGCATAATGAAATTTTGCTACAGTGAGGACACACCCATTAACTATCATCTAATGCTGAAGTCAGGAATGGCAGAGCTGTACCTTCATTCCCCCCATATGTCTTCATGATATGGTGCTTAATTAATTAAGCATAGGGACTGTTCGCATTAAGTGGAGGAATTGTTTTGAAAGAGACTGTGGACCTGTCATCTTGACAGATTACTGATGATGATGATGATGAGGGACTGTACCTTTTTTATGCATGTATGTAATGTTAAGTAAATCCTTTGTGAACACAGCCTGGTGGATTCTCAGCTTGCAGACTGAGGAGCTGGCCTCCAGATGTGGAGGGTAGCTGTGAATACACTAAATAAACATTCAAGGAAAGTTGAGAAGGGCAGTCCTCCAGCTTAGGGGGTTAGGCCAGAGGCCAACAAATTCTCGCTGTAAAGAAACCAGCTCATTACAAAATGTTACATAGGGCCTCGCACTTGGGCAGATTACTGGATTCATGCAGCTAAGAATAGGGGCCAGTGGTGTATTGGTTTGAAGAGTACAATGAACCTTTGGGCTCCATAAAAGGCAGGACATTTTTTCACTAGTTGAGTGATTATTAGCTACTCAGAAAGGTATCTGCTCTACCTTATTTCATTAGTTATGCTGTGCCAATCACAGTGGCTGTGCGGTCTAAGGCATGAAATGTCTGTGCTCATTGGAACACTGGGATCGTGGGTTCATATCCCACTCAAGGCATGGATGTTTATCTGCATTCATTCTGTTTGTGTAGGTAGTGGCCTTGCTTTGGGCTGATCCCCCATCCAAGGAGCCCTAGAAACTGTCTAAAAATAAGAAACTGAAGTGAAACGAAGTGTTTCACGGATGCCCTATGCTCCAATTGCAAGCAACAGGAATAAAGATAGAAAGATAGAGTTATGTTGTAGTAATGATCTGGGACACTATAAAGTAATAATTGAGTTATTTTAGAATAATACACAGTACAATGTGACAATTTAGTTATTTAAAACAAACATTTGACAGTATACATCATAATTTGATAATACAAAATAATATTCACAGTTAGCAATTGTATATAAAATAGAGAGAGAGAGGGTGAAGCACTTGCTAAACTGGGAACTATAATATGCAGAGTAATGTGTGTACATATTCATGGACTCTCATTGATGAGGTGGTGAACGTGATCAGTATTGTTGTTGCTTAGCAATTTGTTAAAGAGAATATTTGTACATTCCAGTGACCATATCAATAAGCTTTGTGGAACGTGAATACTCCATCTGGCATAAAAGTCCACATCACAACAGGATCTGGTTGTTAATTGTGATTATCACGTGAGTACAAATATTCTTATACCTGCAGCCTTATTCTGTACACGACTCTCTGGAGTAGTTGCCTATTATTGCTAGTGAAGAAAAAAGCGTGCCATGCGGTTGTATGTTACCCAGTATTCACCAGACTATAGGAATTTTAACATTAAAGCAATATTTCTTCCATGTGAATAAATGTTTTTTTTTTATTGTAGAAAATGTTGTGCTTCATGAAATATGTCACTGTCACATCATGCTGCTGTATATGTGGCAAAACAGTTCCATCCGTAATGCTTAGCATGTGGTGAAACATTTTGTCAGCATTTATTTGCACCAAAATGCATAAGGTCAAACCATAGTAACAATGTTAATACCTGAGTCGTAACAAATTTACAATTTAGAAATATTTACAATGCCTGCATTCCATAATGGAGAAACCAGCCAAGCTTACAAATTAACATTTATATAATCCAATTATCTGTCACTGAATAAAATTTCTTCTAATAGAGACATCACCACTTGAAAATAATGTTACATATCAACAAGGTTTTCAATCATTATGGTGTTAGTAATTTTCAGCGCATGCACACATGAGTAGAGATCAACATGATACCAAAACCAAACTGCTTATGGAGTATAGAAATTTGGCTTTAAACAACTAGTGAAATTGACTTCATCAAGATTTGGATACGGTTCTTACATTTAGAGTTACAATTTGGAATAGTTGCCTTTGTGAAGAAAAAATATAGGATAAAATAGGTATAAGGCCTGAAAGATTTACAGATGTGTCTTAATCCCATTTCCTATCTGTCAGAAGGCTTCTAACATCACAAGTGTCCTGTGTCAGCTCGCAGTTGTAAGCCTTCTGCCACCACCATAAAATTCAGTGCCATATTATGCTCAGGTGGTGTTATATTTTAGGTCTTTACATTCTTTGATATTCTTCCAGTAGTTCATGTAGGGCAGTGTTTCTCAACCACCAGACCGCAGCCTGGTACCGGGCCCTCGTTTTATAAAAAAAATTACCAGGACATGGTCTCACAGAGGTTGAGAACCACTGATGTAGGGGAACAACATGTGGCAGTTTCATGTTTTTCCATACCAGTGTGTCACCCCTATATTTTCATGCAACTTTGTAGTTATTAGAAGTGATGTTGGAAATAGAAAGGAATGGGAGAGGATTACACAAGCAGATTCACCCCAATGGAAGCCGAAGACTGTTGATTCATCAAAAATTACATAAGGTATAAAATACTAAGACAGGACATACTTTGCAGGAGGTTAAGAACATTTTAGTCATAATGGAAATGGAACTTGATACAGTGACTAAGCTGTAGGCTGAGCAACTAAGGAATTAGGATTCAATTCTTGTTAAGAACAAGGGATTTCTCTCTTCTCCACGGTGCACAGACCAGCTATAAGGTCCAACCAGCATTCTTTTAAGTGTTTTTTTTTGGGGGGGGAGGGGGCTCTAAAGTAGCCAGAGCATGAACTGGCCACTCCCCCACGTCTTCATAGCATGATGCTTAGTTAATCATAGGGACAACTGTAACCCCTTCTCACCTTTTTAAATTTTTATTATATACATATACACAGGAGCTGGGAATAGCATAGTCGATATAGCAACTTGCTACAGACTGGACTACTGAGGGGTTAGAGTATGAATCCCAGAATTTTCTCTCCTCCATGTCATCCAGAGCAGCCTTCTGTCCAATGGGTATTGGGGGCCATTTCTCCAGGGGTAAAGCGGCAGGGGCGTGAAGCTGACCTCTCACCTCCAAGTAGTGCCACGGTCAAGTAATGTGGCCTATACATACACTCCCCCAAATATGTCTTCATGGCATAGTGCTTAATTTGTTAAGCACAGGAACAGTTTTTACCTTTCACATACACACACACATCAGACGAGAAACGTTTCCACTTTTTTTCTGTGTACAAGGAAGAGTGAGTAAATAGGTCACAAATGCATACAAAACATGTGATATTCAAAGTTGGAAAAAACATTTATTTCTCGATATATCCTCCACCAACATTGATACAGTTGTCATATCGCTTTACCAGTGCATTAGAGCCTGCAGCATAGAATTCTTTAGATTACTCGTTTAATGATTAATTTCAGTTATCCCAATCCAGTCATTTCATTGTTAAATATTTCTTCCATTTGAGATTTTTCTCAATCTAATCTCTTCTCCTCAAGGTAAGGTGAAAGTAAAATTGTATCTTTTCATCAAAGTAACCTTAAGTTGGGATTTCACTGTATATAAAACAAGAGAGAAATTAAAGGTTTTTATAGGTATTTTTTTCATCGATTATGGTATGTGCTTACACTATGGAATTTCTCTTCTGCAGGTTAAGTCTGCAAATCATGTATACTGGGATCTCTCTGAGTAATAATAATACTCCAGCACAGTTCGGTATAGGACACATTCCCTGGCATGTCCTGACTCTTGGTTTGGTGTCATCGCTGCTTGTCTTTTTAATTAATGAACTGGTGAAACGAGAAGAGATCAAGTAAGTTTTAAAGTAGCTGCATTCAGTAGGAATTTATAAAGAGGTGTAATCTATATGAACCGCCCTATAATATGAAGTACAAAAATTTGTATTTCTCGATTTTGATATTTGGGCATTTCACTATCAGTGCTTTTCATGTAATGATGCCACATCCCCTGCATGCAAGCACGGTCTTTGTCATTCTCTACCCATAGAGGATTGGCTTTAAAACTGTCAGTGGCTACTTCTATTGTCATACATATTGTCTCCAGTTTCATGTCACAACTGATAGTTCACTACTGTCTTAATTCAACCCGTGCCTATCAAGGGGCAAGCCTCACCAACATAAATAGAACTCTCAATTTGACTGACATGCACATGATCTGGCAGCGTTTGAAAAATAATTGTTGCTTACAAAAAACATAAGGGAATGGATATAATAAGAGTTAAGGCCGCACCATAGCTCAAGCGGTTAGTCGCTTGCTTCCCACCGCGACATCCCGGGTTTGAGCCTGGGTCTGGTCAAGTGGGATTTGTGGTGAACAAAGTGGTCCTGGGGCAGATTTTCTCCAAGTATTTCGGTTTCCCCTGCCAATCTTCATTCCACCAAATTCTCCATAATCATAATCACCCGGGGTAAGTATAATAGGCCAATCAGTGACCGACGTGCCAAGTGAACCCAGCTGAACTCCACCCCCCACTATGCAAATTAAAAAAAAATAATTTAATAAGCGTTAAAACCATGTGAATATGGGATTTTATATTCCTGATTTTATGTCATGCAGGTCGGTGTGAGAAATTCCATCATATTTAATTTTTCTGAGCCTAATAGTGCCTGCATATTTCTGTCCTTATTTTGTAATGTATAACTGTACTCACATATTTTAGATTTCAGAATTAAATTGTACTGACGTGTTTTCAGGGTAAATGTCAGATACCAGAAACGAGCCCGCCTGGAGTTTGGAACGAAATTAGGAATGAACTCGCCATTCTAGGGAGGTGCTGTACACTTATGAAAACATGTGCTAATTGTGGTTCTTAAGTTATGATAGTGTAGTTTCAGGGGTCCCACTTTGTGGCTTTACATTGAAGGACATGGCTAGACAGATGTGAATAAATATGTGAAATCATGCAGAGTAACTTCTGTTCTTGTTCTCATTCATACTTATTTACTTCCCAGTTGGTTATAAATTAGCAAGAAAAATAATTTCATCCAGTGCAGATTCCTTTCATGTGAACTCACAAACCATATTTTCTTACCGAAGGCTTCCAATCCTACAAATCATATGTTCACATCTTGTTTAACTAACTTCACAGAGCTGAACCATTCTTGAGAAGCCACTAGTTGTACAAATACTCAAGAACTTCCCAGCATTCTATGCAACCCCAAGGTTCATTACTGTGTTCACAAGAGCCTTCCATTGGTCCCTATCTAAAGCCAGATCAATCCAGTCCATACCACTTCATCCTATCCACCCATCTACATCTTGGTCTTCCTAGTGGTCTTTTTCTTGCTGGCTTTCCCACCAATTTCCTACATGCATTTCTCTTCAGCCCCCATTCATGCTACATGCCCCGACCATATCATCCTCCTTGACTTGATCATTCTGATTATACTTGTTATATTTTAGCATCCTGTTGTACTGATTCACATTCATGATGTGTATTTCTACCAACCGTCTTAGAGTGCACACAATTTCACCTTTCTCTTCACTACATCTTTCGGCACTAATGTGCCATCTTCAGGTGTGGTTTTGTTTACGTCAAACCATTGCACTGTATGCCATCATGTCTCCTTTATAAAATGATTAAAATGTAAATATGTCACATATAATAATAAAATTTATATATTGAAACTTTTGAAGATTTATCATCTATACGCCGCACTTCAAATTCGCAAGTTACGTCAATCTTCTCCAATGGGAGTACTCTTCCTATATTCTTGTGTATATTGTGTCCTTCCCTTGTGACTGCGTGCATTGTATTGCTCTGGTTTGACGTAAATAAAACCACACCTGAAGATGGCACATTGGTGCTGAAACATGTAGTGAAGAGAAAGGTGAAATTGTGTGCACTGTAAGACGGTTGGTACAAACACACATCATGAATCTGATTATACTTGGCAAAGAGTACAAGTTATGAAGCTCCTCATTATGCAGTTTTCTCTGTCATGATTTTGCCCTGCATTCTGGTGATGAGACAGCAACGTACACTTAGTTTTCTCTGTGTTTTTCTTTATGGTATCTATGTTAACTCCCAACAGATTATGTGTCCCACTTAAATTTCAGTCCCACCTGGTTTTCCTGTACCTCCCTAATGGCATATTCTAAAGCAAAGTTGAATAACAGTGGTGATAAAGCATCTCGTTTTACACCATTTTAGATAAGCGTTTACCTACACGGACTTTACTACATGTTTTGTTTGAACACATTTGAATCAGCCTAAGTAGTTTTATGGCTACTCCAAACTCTGTGAGAGTATTATACAACATTTCCCTCCTAACTGAATCACAGGTTTTCTTCACGTCTTATTTAGATAATTTAAATATAGATCCAACAACATAATTCAGTTTATCTCATGGCATACAGTGCTAGACTTGTGTGCAGATGGCTATATGACTGAACTGTGGTCAAGTCAAATTTTTAGTGTTTGCAGTTGTAAATATATTACTGATAACACCCTTTTTTGTTTGAAAAAAATGTATATGTACAGATTTCATGTACATTAAATTTGTCAGACATAAGAACAGAGATTCACACATTGCTGTGTTTTTGGTTCTTGACTTATAAATAATAGTTCATGTGCAACATGTAAGTATGTTTATGATCTCCATACAAAACTTACAAGTCCCTGTCTCCATTGCTTCGTTAGTTATTTCTGTCACACTGAAGGCTGAATGTGTATTTAATCCAGCTGCTATGTTTTAAATTCTACAAAGAGAACAATGTTAATAAAATTTGCATAGCTTTTTAAGATTACCACCCACATACTTTGTGGACCTTTTTTTTTCCTTAACAGTATGTAGACTGTATAGCACTGAATGGTAGGATGACTGATGAATTGAAAATGATTTTAGAAGGAAATATTCATAGCCTGATTGAGGTAGTCCTGGTATTTGCATAGTGAGACTGAGGAGAACTATGAAAACTTCAGATAGCTGATGTCCTACCCATTCAAAGTGAGCACATCCCAAATACAGGTCTACAGGGTTAGCCCAAGATCCTGCATCTAAGTAGGATCCTACATTAATTGGGGCTGATATCACTGTTACCTCAGAAGTTCATGCAGCTACCTCCTATGTTGTCATTACTGATAAGTAAAAAAAAAAGTAAAGTAAAGCTATCCCTGTACCAGGCCGTGAAGGCCCATAGGGTTGTGAGACGAGGGTCCCACATTATCTAGACAATCAGCTCAAAGATGGCGATAAGGTTGTCAGCCTTACACGCCGGCTGCGCTTTACTCCCCAAGAAAATTATTTAATTAATTCCTGGTACTCATTTTTGTTAAGAGGCTGAGTAAACCCCAGGGCCTAGTGTGGCTGGAAGGATTAGGCCAACTGAAAAAAATCCAATGACCTCATCTGGATTTGAAATATGAAATAAAAAGTAAGAGGTTGGAGGTGACCTCTAATATAATATTTATATCAATAGTAGACTAAAAATCTTACCATACATAAACCCATACATATTTGTAAATCTGATATATTAAAAATCCATAAACATGTAAACTGTTGAGATTCGAGTATTAGGAACCTGGAAACTGATTATCACATGCATGCTAGCAGGTCCATTTCACTTAACCACAACCTGTTTCTTAGAGATCCAATGTTTTCTGTAATTGGGGCTTTGGTTTGTCACTTGTCAATTCTGTCTTGAACTTGTTCATTTGATTGATCATCCATTTCTTAAATTGGGCTCGAATAGCTTAGTAAAGTCACTGTGTGCTGGATTACCAAGTTTGATCTTTGATAGGGCAGTGATTTTTCTCTTTGCCTCTTGTCCCAGCTGGCTTTGTATCCTATCCAGCCTTTCATCCAGTGGATAGTAAATGCTTTTTTTTTTCTTCTTCTGGGGACAAAGCGGTTAGAGCATAAGGTGACCACTGAACTTCCACCTAATGCCAATGATAGGAATGTGTGGAGATTAACCTTTACTCTCCCCATAGTGCTGAAGTCCTTACTTCAGTTGGTAGCAGAAGTTCAAAAATGATTTAGTATAATTGACCCATGTAATAAATTATTTATATGTTTGGATGTAAATGCCCTTTGCATGCAGTATTATGAAATGATATTAATGTACCATTTCAGTTTGCTGGCAATAATCTTATCATTATTTTTATTAGAAATAATACTTTTCTAACATGTTTATCTCAATTTTGTAGTACTGATCTATTCTTTCTTCTTTTAAAAATTCTGCTTGGTGAATGTACACCAACCTCTGGAAACCTTTTTTTTTTTTTTTTGTAAAAATTTCAATACAATAGATTTTGAACATTAAATTCATAAAAATCTTATTATGACACAGATTAGTGACTTTTGAAGACTGAAGCCGAATGAAGCAAACCTTAGATCAAGGAACATCAAATGGGAGTTCCTGTATATATATCACAAAAGTGTGTTCATAAGGGCAGGAACATTTTATATTAGTAAAATAGTATTTGTCCTTACAAGTTTGTGTTTAAATTGATGTATGACCATTTGTAAACACACCTGCAGAAGCAGATAAGGTAGGGACCACTATAGAATATTCCAGCATAATGGTCCACAGAAACAAATACTAAGATGGATATATTTTTTACATTTGATAAAGATGATAATGTATTTGAAATGTTTGCTTGGAAATTTCGCATTACACTTCTAACTTTTTAGTGTGCATGTATTTTTATTAATCATTAAATTATTTAATTACATATCAACTATTCTTCACATACCGATAATGGCGATGATAAGTAAGCAATGAACAGATTAGTAGATTGGAATACAAAGTAAGAGAAATATTCCCCATCACAGCTTTGTATCCATAAATCTGAAATAAAATGAGTGAAAACTAGGCACAATCTGTGAGATGAGAAGCTTATTTGTGTTCTAACCACTATACAATTTCATAACTTTCATCATGTTCCCATCTTCACACATTAAACAGAGACTTAATACGATTTCTTAGAACACCAATTCAGTTCATACAGTTGACAACAGTAGCAGCATAAGGCAAACTTTCTGTAAATATCACTGAATGTTTGTATAACATTTTTCTTCTCTTCATGACTAAAAAAAAATTGCTTCAGGAAGAAAGGTATATAAACTAAACTATATCCTCTCTTCATCAGACAGATCAAGGATTTCACTTACAAACTTTGAGACATCAGTAGTTCGCTCCTGATGAATTTGGATAAATGGGTGCAAGAGCAGTTGATCATAATTAGGACGTTCCATATAATCTTTCTGCAGGCTGCAATGCAAACATATAAGCAACCAGAATGAATATATGAGTTACATGATTTTACAAACACTTGTAGCAAATAAAAAAGAAATCATTAATTGGAAGTCACATTTTCTGAATTAATATAAATATAAAACAACTCTATGAGTCAATTTTCTTAGAATTACTTCAAACTTTGACTGTGTCAGAATCTGTCAAGTCCTGATATTAATTAATTAATTATGTAATTACTGAGTAATGCTTTCTGACCTCTCTACTTACCACTTGCTGATGAAATCTTCAAAATCTGATGAAAAGTCATCAGGTGGAAGTCTAGGTGGGTCATCTTTGACAACCTGTTTTAGCTGCTCAAATGGTGTCCCCCAAATGTTATATGGAAACCTCAATGTTGCCAGTTCTACTAATGAGATGCCCAGACTCCACACATCTGACCTGATATCATACTGTGAAGGATTACCTGAAGGATCTATTCGTTCTGGCTGTATGAAAGAAGCAAGTGTTATTACTACCTTTTATATTGTACTTGATTTGTTTATACTTTAGAAGCCTTTAATAACTGAATTCTTTTACAGTGTCCATATAATTACTAATATTTCTATTTAAATCCTTCCCCAATTTAATTTAAAAATTTACAAAGTATAAGAAGACTTTTAATATTCGGTTACTAATGAAATAAAAGAGTCTTAATTCAAAGATTCATAAAATAACCTACTAAAATACATTTTCCCTACTGTTATTTGTTATCATATCACTCCCTTTAAAAGGTCAGATTAAATCTGACACATCTCATAATTAGGGAAATTTTGGGATCAGTAATACTGCTAAAAATTTAAAACTTCAGATTTTTTAAACCTGTTTTCAGTTACAAATAGTCCTACATTGTCGGTAAATATACTGCAAGAAATACTGTGCTATACTTACAGCCATGTATGGCTTGCAACCAGCATCTATTGTTTTTGCTACTGAGTCAACTAAGTACCCAGATATACCAAAATCACACATCTTAACCTCTCCTTTCCTATTAATGAGGATGTTGGAAGGTTTAACATCTCGGTGGATAACGCGCAGATTTGAATATAGGTAATGCAATGCACTGACAACCTAAAAAATAAACAAATTATTGTTACAATTGGCAATTTCAAGAGTATCCACAAATATTACAGATCTGAAAATAACTTACAGTAGTTCACTCATAGCTGTTAAGACGGCTTTTATTACGTTTATTATGGGGTTCATGTTTAAAAGGTAATTTTAGAATATAAACAAAATGTAAGTGCTCAGAATAATTCAAAGTGGCAGATTGTGGTTTCTGTGATCCTGAATCTTTAGTTTCTATTACCAGGGTCAGATGGTTGTTACAAGACTCACAAAACTCCCTGAAAAGAAAGAGTCCCAATGTGTTGTCTGGAGCACAAAGGAAATATGGCAAGCCAAAGCAGTATGCACCAGATGCAACAACGGGCTGCTTGAAGGTGAATTATATTTTACTTCTCTTAAGAAGAACCAGTGACCACCTCTGTGGTCTAGAGGTCCCGGGTTCGATTCCCAGCCCTACCGTATTTTTCTGAGAAGTAGTGGGACTGGAATAGGTTAACTGAGGAGGTACTTGAATGGAAAAGTAGTGGCTCTGGTCTAAAAAACCGAAATTAACACCTGTTGGGATTTGTTGCGCTGACCACGCAACACTCTCTATCCACTAAAGTTGGCACTAACTTTGCCGACAAGCAGTGGTCACTCAGTACAGTTCACTTGCAGACTACAACCACGGAGTTTCTTTGAGGAAGAACCATACCATACAGCTATCCCTTATAAGATCCCACCCAAAAAAAAATCCCAGCAATTGTAAAGTTGCATAACATGTAAAAAATAATTCATACTATATCCAGTGAAACTTCTGTGTACTCATATTTGTTTGCGTCATGGTAACAGTATTAACTTTCTTGAAAACTGTGGAAGGGAATCGAGACTTTCCTTGTAATACCAACAGTTTTATTGTGCTGCATCTTATTTTAAGAAGAGTAAGTAGAGTTTCATATAAATGATTTAACATTATGCCATATGGAGAACTAAATCTCCTTGAAGTCCACTGTTGTAATATTCTTACATCAGTGTCTCGACAGGCCCTCACTCTGACAGCTGCAGCTTCACAGTTATTTAATATGCGTTTATAAACATGAGTATTCAGACTATGAACATGCATCTAGGTATACTGAAATAGAGGAAAACTCACAGCAAAGGCAACTTTTCCAAGAATGTCTTCAGGTATCTGGCGTCCATGGTGACACACCTTTGTATAGAATTTGTCAAGACTTGTATCCATGACCTCCATACATATCCAGACATCTCCTTCACGAAACAATGCTCCATAAAATTGTACTGTATAGGGGCAGTCAGATGACCGCATGGAGATGTCTAAGTCCATCAACAGGCGCTTTTGCTCTTGGGTATTTACAGTTGCTGCTATCCTCTATAATATTAACACACAGCTACAAAAAAACTCACTCACTCGCAAAACTCTCTCTGGCCTGTTTCAAAAGTATCATTTCAAGTTTAAACTCTATTAAGAAATCATAATATTAGACTAAGATAAAATGTGAATGTAATAAATTAACAATTTTAGATGCACTAATAAAGGTTTCATTGTCAAACTCTCCAGTACAAACCAAAATTTGAGTTCAGCAACAAATTCTTTCAAGTGTTACCTTAACAGCCATGATAGTTCCACTTGGTATATGTCGCATCTTCTCAACTATGCCATAAGCTCCTCGCCCAAGATCACAAATTTTTTCCAGGTCATCTGCCTCAACCTCAAAAGTTCTCTCTCCAATTGTAATTGTTGTACGTTTGTCCAGGTTCCGTGGGGGTGTGCTGTAAAATGACATCAGATTTACAGACAAACAACCTGACTAGTGTATATTTTAGAAATAATCATGTGATTCCTATACTATTCATAATTTAACTAGTCAAGTATTTTATGAGTCAATCATCAGGACGTCAACGTGTCCTTTGATATATTGATTTCATTTATCTAAATCCTTATGACTTATTTTAATCAAGAATGCCTCTACATAAGTCATCAAAAAGCAATGTGGTCATATTTAAATAAGAGTTTATGCACTGCTACATTGGCTCACAAAAAAATTTCTCAACTTTGAATGTCAATTCATGGGCATCCCATCAAAGACACGTAGTAACAGAGTTTACATAAGGCCAGCTGTTTTGACTGTAAAGCTTTAACTGCCCAAACATCAATAATAGAAACTAATGTTTCTTGATTCTATTTCTGGCCCACATAAAGAGACCAAAATTTAATTTTGTTATATCTTATGCCATGAAATATTTCATAACAGGAAACATAAAAATTAACTTACACTGGTGGAATGTCTGCAGGCACTTTCAGCTTTAACCCTCCCTTCTTCCTTGGGTTTTGACCTTTGAAAACATATATCCAACATAAATAGTGAACACAGAAACTTAAAATATTTCCAAAGCTCAAAAATCAATGCTCTATAAATGTAAGTATGCCATTATCTTACCTGCCATTATACAGCCCCTCTTGAGAGACTTGAATACAACAGGTACTTCAAGTGCTATTCTCAACGTTTGGCTGGTATTTACCTCTGCTGTCAAGATATAATAGATGGACTATACTATATACAATCATAAAGTGGTTGTCCATGTCATGACGAACATAAATACTTCACTGGCAGCTTTATATAAAATATGGACTACCAGCGTGAAAGTAAATGTTTTGGTTCCTCTGAGGCCTGGGCCTAACGTTCCAAAATATGAAGATCAAAACATAATAACCTGAAAGAGTTAAACGTTATTTTTGTTTAAAAACTATCAGTATCTGCATATTACATAAGTAAATAAACAGAACTACAATTTCCTGCAGAGACAATTCACACAGTCTCATTAAAGACAGAAGAAGTTCACTAAGACCTCCGTGCTTAAAATACTTGAAGGTGATTATTAACATCACCAATTCAGTACTAACGATTCATATGAAAGAGATATAAACAAAAATTTGTGCTGCCTTTGAATAACCATAATGGATTCGAGACGACAAATAAAATATATGGTACAAAACTCTTTGGTCAATCTCAAACCCTTGGCTAGTAATCACAAAATCTTTCAACAAACCTGCACGATATACCTCCTTTTATGTACGGTTTTAGTAAGTCAGATGTTTCGGACCGTTTCGGACACCCTCGCATGGTGGCCAATATAAACTCATGCGTTCTGTGAGATTTAGTTGGTATGTTGGTAACGAAGTGACAGTTTTTGAAAGAATGTTCCGTGGGAAGGCAACTGAAAACGAATTTTGATGCAGTAAATTTATGTATAATAACTTTCTAGCAAACAGTGCATATTTATTTCCAACTCTGTGTTGGAATAGGTCATCCATGCGAAGCGTTCAAGGTAAAGTCCATAATTTAAGATACGATCTGTAAGATATGTAATGTAGGAGTTCTTAGATGCGTTCGTAGATAAAACCTACATGGAGAATCAATGAGAGCCTGATTGTCACTTACGTAGTCAAAGAATTCCTAAGCCTTTATGAAACCTAGAAAGTTTTGTACCTGTGTTACAAGAGCCAGTTACAAAACTCTGTTTTGTGTCTGGTAAATCTAGTCTGCATCTTAACACCCTATTTCTGTATATTGTGGCGTATCAGAGAAGCCGGAATGGTTGAGGTCAACTCCCGCTACAACACTACAATCGGAAAGCATCCATACCTAAGCAACGGAATGGATTGCAGCATTGGAATTCTAACAATGAGTTACCACTGTTAGAACCGTTACAACGTGATTTCTAGCCTTCGCCGAGAGCAGATGGGTTGTATCAGTCGCCGAGCAGTTCAGCAGACACTTCACCGGGATTAACGGTGCAAGAAGAATTGAGATAGTGCAGAAGAAACGTTTAGAGGACGTTATAGGTGATAATAATTGTACTTGTGAGTGTGGAAGAGTGTCCAATACATGTGTTCGCTAAATCCGAGACCTGCGTGAATTTATTTGTTTCGTTACACAGGCAACACGTGACTATCTATGTTAATATTAGCTTCCCATCCACGGTCAGGTCCGCACCCCTTCGGGTTTAACATAAAAAATGTTGTGCAAAATGCTCATTTTCCATGCATGCTGCATCCATCCCATCCCTTTGATTTGATAATCCAGATAATTTTACGTGAAAAATACAAAGTACAGAACTTCTTCATTAATTTGCTCCGTTCTTATGCTCCTTCCTCTCTCTTAGGTCCAAAAATTCTTCTTAACATATTGTTCTGTTACCAGTCTGTAGGGTATCAGACTGTTAATGGAACTGCCACATTATGAAATTACATCACTTACAATTTTAAATATACTGTGAGTGAATATTGACCTTTTACTGATGTTTAAGAATAAATTTTGTATAGTCTTGTGCCATGTCATACTGATAGTGTTTTCCATTTAAAACTTGAAAAATACCTTGAGAAATTTTGTTTTGATTCCAGGATTCCATACAGTTTCTGTGTGGCCCATTTTAGAAACAAGATGTGGCCACTATTTTTCTTGTGGGATGCCAGTTTGATTAGTGTGTTCCTTCACACTTTAACGGTAATATTGATTTTCATTTTGACCATCAACATTATCAAGTACATAACTCCAGATCTTCATATCCCAATCAGGGATACGTCTAAGCAACATAACTGGCGTAATGGAAAACTTTTGTCCAAGGTTTGTGATCAATATAATTACTTGCAGTGCTTAAGCAGGGAGAATTTGAAGTGGCATGTTGAATGCATAGTTTCAGATTAGCTCAGTGCCTGTGTTATTCATTAGATGCAGTGGAAGAGTTGATAGGAAATATTATGACATCAAATTTTTAATTAGAGAAACTTGATTAGATGTAATATTTGAGGTAAATATTTTAATTGTTTTCTTATTTTTTTTTTACATAATATAACTGTGCATTTTTAAAAAATGGACAAATCTGATTTTCTGTGTAGATAGAGTTAAGCTACGGAAAACTGTCTGTACAATCAACAACTGGATATAAAAATTCTTTATTAGAGTCATGTATTCACAGTACAATATGGGAGCTATACCAGTGTCACTGTATTACACACTCCCAATTACTTCTCTTGTGAGCCAAGCATCTGCTTCTCGCACTATCACTTCTAATCACACGTCCCGGTATTCTTCTTTCCACTGCAACTGAACTCGGCGACTGTTCCAATTCAACTGTCTCCGGCAGCAGCTACATTTCAACTGACTTTGGCGGCTGCTTCATTTTAACTGCACTCCTGCTCACACACTACTCACTACTAATCACTCACTGCTCACTCCTAACTAACCCCTGAATAGTGTTCGCTGCTCCTTATTTAGCCTCGGCACAGACAACACAGAAAACAGTTACATAATAGGTACCACTGTTTAGTACCGTCGTGTTTACTGATTTCCTAGCAACAGTCGTTGCACGTCTCGCCTGTTGCATGACGTAATGTTTACCGCCTGCCTAGCAACACTGTCAAGAGTTGTTTACTGCTCTGTAGCAACCGCGGCATCCCTTGGTAACGTCACCGCGGGAGGGGGCAGGGTGTTGACTGGCCTATTACCATAGCAGCCGGTTCCTCAGTAGGGAATATAGACTGGCTGATACCTGAAGCTCTAATACACTAGGGGAGTAAAAGGCGGCCAGCGCATAAGGCCGACAACCTTACCACCATCTGTGAGCCAACTGTCTAGAAAATGTGGGAGCCTTGACGTCTTACAACGCTATGAGCCTTCACAACTTGCTACGGGAATAGCTTTACCTTATCTTACTGCAGTGATATATATCCAGCAATACCTGAGGTTCTGATATGCAGCAGTGACCCTGACCTTGTTAAGGGATTTTTACAACTTAATATTTAATAAGCATATGTTTACAAAAGCCATATTTTAAATATGAAAATGGAACAGTTTTAGTTTCAGTTTGATAATTATGTATCCCTTCATAAAATCACTTAAGGATTATCAATAGATCAAAACATGTTGTGGTGAAAGAAACAATACAGACTTGTTAATGTTTTTAACTTCAAATCCAGTTGTTGATTGTATAGATGGATTTCCATACTATAAACTTTCCCTTGATATCCTCCACCACCTTTTTGATTCATGAGTTTTCCTACTTTTCTTTCTTCTGTTTATGGTATGGCATGCGTCTTGTGAAATAGGAGGTAGCAACAATGCCATAGGCTTGTAGGACTGTTAACATTAATCTTCAGTCCCTCTGTGTTAACCTAATTGAGTTATCATGCTTGTGGTTTTGTGAGATCTTCAGAATGTTATTACATAGAAAATACTAGTATGTCTCTGTTAGGAATATTTCTTTTATATGTATTAAAGCAGCATGTAATTATATCTTTGTATCTGTGACAGACATGTTACTGCAGTGTTTGTGAAGCACTAATGGTGACAGGACGAGGGGTATACTGTGACTGCTGTGGAGTCTGTGCAGATAGAGGCTGCATTAAAGTAGCTGATCGGAAGATCAAGTGTAAGGCTATCACATCGAGTGATAAGGGCCCCATGAAACATCACTGGGTGAAAGGTATATTTCTAATATTGTACGTCAGCACCCTGTTGTATTACTATTAGTCCTCAGCGGATAAGTATTTTCACATTTTCACCATGCAAACACAGTGTTTTCATTTTTGTTGTCTTTCCGATATACATTGTTCTACAAAATGTTTCGTCCTCACATGGCCGTCGTCAGGCATAGTTACCCTTACTAAAATTGTTTTACTGTCACTTTAGTTAAGCAGCATGTGGAATGCATTGTTATGTTCAATAAAAATCCTCTGAAATCCATAAAATGTTGGTGCCTTCTGATTGCCAGCAGTGTGCATTGCCAACTGTGTGTGATACTTGTAATATGTAATAAATGTATTGCATTAATATTTTTTCCTGGAACGTATTTTATGTTTGCTGTTAATATTCTATTGTGTTATATATCTTACATGTACTTACATTTTTTGCATGGTGTGTTGGTGTCGCTCCTTGTTGAGTTATTCTGGCTATAGGTGTAGTAATTCTGAATGTGTTGTGTCATTGGGTACACTTTCTTTTAAGGAACGGGGTGGGGGATGCTGCTATCTGGTGCGGAGTTTATATGAAGTACAATCAAGAAGTTCTCAGACTACTGTTGTAACTGCCTTGGTCAAAGAAGATGAAGTTCTGATGAATTTAAATTAACTTTATGATAATCTAAAATGGTAGTTTAAGCATTATCAGTTTCTGAAATATATGATTTGAAATGTATATTGGTGGAACGTGATCTTCTTTCTTATGTATTTGTAGGTAATCTTCCAATAGGTGCTTGTTGCTACGTATGTGAAGAGGAATGTGGATCAGAATATGGATTAGTGGACTGGTTCTGCTGTTGGTGCCAGCGAACTGTTCATTCACGATGTCGTGTTCACCTTGAAGAGGTATTCTTGTATCAGACAGTAACGTAGAGACCGCAGAGGTAGAAAGTAACAGAAATCTGGCCAGAACTGCTTAATGTGGAACTCTGTAATCTGTACTCTTCACCAGATTGAGAATAATGAGGTGGGCAGGGCATATGGCATGCAAGGGAGAAAGTAAACAAAAATTTAGCCAGAAATCTTGAAGGAAAGAGACCTTTTTGAAGATTTAGGTTTAGGAATAACATTAATATGAAAATAATTTTTTTAAGAAATGGGGTATGAGAGTGTGTGCTGGGGTCTTCAGGCCCTGAATAGGATCCATTCGTTTGTTCTTATGAACACAGTAATGAGCCCTGGGTTTCAACAGAAGTGGGAGAATATCTTGACTAGCTGTCCTATGAGTTAGAAATGTATGTAATGAAAACTAGATACTTACAATTTATTGGCGGCCACATATAACATAACTGAAGTTGTCAGAAATAAGTACAGCAAATGAGTGATATACTTCATTAGAATGTTCGTAGTTTTTTCCTATTTAGAAATGTCTGCATTTTGTAGACCCTGACAAAATCAGTGCAAACATTCCTAAACTTACCTAAATCAAATTTTCTAAATGCAGTTACATATACTCGTAGATGATGACATTCTCAGCAAAGATTCTTCTCAGTGGAGTTTGTTAGTTAGATAGCAATAGATCCTGACATAAGATGTTCGTAATAACATAACACTTCAGCTACGTGATGTATCTTAATATCCTGTTTCAGTTGGTATTAGGATTTGTTTTCAGTTGCTTACTGTCCACCATGCAACAGTATCAAGGTTTAAAATGAAATCCTTTTAAAATCCGTCACTGCACTACTTGTTTTGGCCTACTTGGCCATCATCAGGTGCACTAAAATTGGAGAGGTGGGGGTTACCGCTGTGACTTCTGTGCTACTGCGATCAGTGTTTTTGAATTAAGTCAGTGTAGTACCCCTTTCTCTGCTTGTTGCCTATCAGGTGTGCAGTGTGGATGTTATCACACTCCAGACCTTTATGTTGCAAGTACAGGTGTAGTTCATATATGCAAACATAATAAAGCTTGTAGATACTATAGGGTTCTGACGATGGTGTATAACACAGAGATACTGAGTTTTTGGACTTTGTCCATCGTCCAAATGGACAATGTTTTTTTGTAGTTATTTAGAATCCGGATGATGGACAAAGCCTGAAAACCCATTATCTCTGTGTATAATAAAGCTTGTGGTTAGCAATTGTATTCCTCCTGTTAGAAACTGCTTTTCTACCACAAAAGACAAAAAAACTCCCTTGCCTGTAGTTCACAAACAAACTATAATTACCGAGCGACTGCCACTTGTTGGCCAAGTTATTATAGCGGATAGAGGGTGTCGCATGGTCAGCGCGGTGGATACCCACGGCCATTAATCTTGGTTTTCTAGACCGTTTCTACCGTAATAGAGGCAAAATTATGTTGTTTCTGCTTTTTAGTTGTTTCTATTCCGTTCATCTCTCCATTCACCTGTAATTAGAAGTTTCCAAAGAGACGATTAAGAAAGTGCTGTGGCATTCATTATTGGATATGTCAGGTTCCTATAAAGCCACTTACCAGTATTTTTCGAAATATGTTATTTGACTACATCATCAATACTCACCAGCGTTTTAATTCACTGTGTTCTTACTGATGGTATTGAAAGTATGTCACATCTCGTGCCAGTTACAGAAATTAAAGCCATTTAGAAGCTGATCTTTCATTTATATTAATATGTTTTAAGCTATTGAAATGTTTGATCTTCTATGTAAGGCATTTTTATGGCAGTTCTTTTTATTTAAATGTAACCAGATATTAGATTATTCCTTGAAATAACAATTTATTTTTTGATTTGTTGTGAAGGTTTGTGACTTTGGACCATATCGTAATCAGCTGATTCCACCTAGTTGTGTTGTACTAACTAAGAAGCGAAGCAGCGTACGTAGGAAACTTCAACTCCGTTCAGTTAAATCTCCTGGGTGGGAGAACTGGACGCCAATTATTGTACTAGGTATGTTCTGCCTATATATCTGTTATCTATAATTACAAAGAGCTTCACCTATACGGGTCTTACATGGGTCATTCTTTGAAGAGTTCTGTCTTCTGGGACTGTAACCTTGGTTCTCTGCCTACTACATATACTTAACAATTTCTCTACCCTGACTTCCGATGTCTGCACAACTGTCGCTTTTCAGAGCACAGCGTTAGTTCTCTTTTCTTGTGTCTTTTTTTTTGTTCACTCTTCTGTCTTAGATAGAGCCAGTGGGAACTGACAAGTTTGTTTGGCTTGCACATTCCCACCTAGTTTGTTCTTTTGTTTATTTGTTTGTTTGTTTTTCTTGGGGGGGGGGCTTACTCTTCAACCCAAAAGACGAAGAGGGTGTGTTCCTCAAAAATGTCAGTTAACTTTCACCAGAGTATGCAACATTATACCCCAGAAGCTGGAGCTCCTAATAGCCATTGCTATGAGAATTTAAATTCCAATATTTTTATTCTGTATTTATTTAATGTCATTTTCAGTAGCTCAAATAATATAGTGTCGGATGGTAGGATGGTTAGTGAATAATGGAAGGGATGTTAAAGGAAGTGGTCATGGGCTATTTTGAGGTATGTCACGTTATTTCCTTGAGGAGCTGAGGAAAATTGTGAAAAACAGTATAGCGAGGCTTCAGACTCTTAATTTGAAGGCAGGGCCTCCCATATATGAAGTAGAAAGTGCTAATCACTTAATTGTGACAGAATTGTAAAATGTAGTACGTTCTGTTTATGTTTATAAAAACATTTAGTTTGAAAACTTGACAAAAATATGGTAAAGAATGTGAGAACACTAATAAATTGTTCTCTCCTTGCAAAGCAAACTGTAAGTCTGGTAACAATGACGGGAACATGATCTTGTCACTGTTTCGACGCCTTCTGAACCCTGCACAAGTACTTGACTTGGGTGAACAGCCACCTGAGGCTGCATTAGAATGGTGTTCTCTGCTGGGAAATGTTCGAGCCACAGTACTTGTAGCAGGAGGTGACGGAACTATTGGATGGGTTCTGAATTCAGTTAATAACCTACAGTTAAAGGTAAGAACTTATTGTACTGTAAATGGTGTAATATATAATAATAAGAATCATTTTTGTGAAAACAATGTATGTAAAACTTTTTAAAGTCATGAAATTCTGTGGGAATCTGCTGTATTTGAAAATGAGGAGGGTAATATAACCCTTGGTACTGTATATATATAAGTAAAATTATCCCTTTAATAGGCCGTGAAGGCCCATAAGGTTGTGATAGGTTAAGACTCTCACATCTTCCAGACAATCGGCTCACATGTGGCAGTAAGGTTGTCAGCCTTACGCGCTGTCCACCTTCTGTCCCCCAGGAAGATTCCTGTTACTCATTTATGTTAGAAGCTGAGTCAACCCCAGGCCCACAGTGTGGCTGGAAGGATTAGATAAATTGAAAAAAAAAAATCCACTTCATCGGGACTCAAACCCATGACCTTCCGGCTTGTATCATAGTTACTATATATATATGAGATGAAATAATATTAATGTTATGAACTGGTATATTCTGCATATATTTATCTTCTCGCATTTCCTACTTGATTTACAATGCACATTCTGTTAGTATATATTATACTGTCTGCACAGTGTACAAATAAGGATTCATAGTTCTCGGAATTTAGTTTGGAAATTTTGCTGTACCCTTATGTGTGTATATGTAAAACAGTTGACAGAGTTCACATCTCATAGGAAAGACTAACAGACAACAGACAAACTCCTCATACTTCTTGTACGTACTGGATGATTTGTTAAGTGAATGGATATGGGTTACTTACATTTGCATTATCAGTTCACTGTGGCTTGAACTTTGATTTCTTCCTTAATATAACATTGTGAAATTGACTAGAATGTCTGCCATATATTTCAGCCAAATCCAGGAGTGGCCATTTTGCCAATAGGAACAGGGAATGACTTGTCACGCATTCTGGGCTGGGGCAAGGCACATTGTCCTGATTCTGATCCAGGTGTAGTTCTTCAACAAGTACAGAATGCCCATCTTGTTCAACTGGACAGGTAGGATTTCTCACTTTACATTCTGACTCATACAGTAGGTTTCTTCCTATATAGAGAGATTTTTTTTTGGGTGTAATTTTCTGCTGCTGCACTAATTTGTAACATTTTTACTGACACTGTATAGTGGTCTACTCCAATATTTGTTAGAATGCTTTTGAGATCACCTTACTGTCTGTATATCCCCCATAATTTTTTCGTTTTCATATGAAAGAAAAGTAGTTCTTCCCAGAACTTTTTGTTATGTGTGATCTTGTTCTGCTGTTATGCTAATATATAACATTGATGATGGATGAAATTTACACAAGTTACAGTGACCAAGTTCACATTTAGCGATTGGTAAATCTCAAACTAGGATCAGAGTGAAGAGGCTAGTAGCAGACGTGAATTTAGTGCCCTTTCTTCCTCCTGTGGTATATGTCTGCACAGAGCTCTTTCAGTGTGGGTTGGTTCTTTGATCCAGAAGGGAAGATTTTTTTTAGAAAATTGAATCCTCTTATCTGAGATGGACTGAGCATAGCTACATAGAACACCCACATTGGAGATATCTTTTATTATTTCTTAGTTTGAAACAAATTGTCACATGTTTTGAGTGACTATGGACAAGGTTTGGATTGGTAATCAGATTTATTGAACATTTACGTCCATGATTTGTTTAATCCGTCTTGCAGTGCAGTACGCACTGCAAGACGGATTAAACAAATCATGGACTTAAATCAGTGCAACAGGACGCTAAAATATAACATTATTGAACATTTAAGACTCGTAAGTACAATTAAATTTAGTGCTGTTGCTAATTAACACACTCTGCAATTTACTACAGCATGCACTAAGTCCTGTGTCTTTACTCGTTGTCTGGTAACACCCAACACCATAGATCCTTCAGCCTCTGTGTAAGCTCCAGCCCTTGCTGGCTGTCACTTATCTTACAACTCAACTGGGCCGTGCCTGGTCAAAGTCTTCTAACAGGGGCTATTCCTCATGCCCTCATGCCTCAAGAACTGCAGTTGTTAACTGCCTTCTCAAAACTGTACTGCTCTGCCACTTGCCTCCTTGTCAGGGACCATCTCAAGACTGACAGGCTTGTCCTCTTTGTCCTCGTGATATAGGCTAGGGATGAACCCAACAGAAAATACCGTTTGTTTCATCTGCGATATTGCACAGTTAAGCAGCCGCCAGAGCAGACCGCACTGCTTTTGACAGTTGTTCTGCTGTTGCATGAATAACTGTTGTTACGCTGATGTAGCATTTTATGTTTCATTGTTGCATCAGTCTTCGTTGTGCCATAACCTAGTAACGGTCATATCTTCTGGTTAAACCATTCCAGCTGTCAGCAGACATGCCACAATATTTAGATTTAACTGTTGCCCACCATGTTTTATATAAAAGGGTGTGATGTAGGGATGTTTTTGTGATTAAGTACTAGCAGCCTACTTAACAGATTCAGGTTAATCTTAAGTGTATGTCGGACAGGTTTCCTCAAATATTTTTCTTCTTTTTTTTTTTATTTTTATGCCCTTTCATTTCCTTTGGCTTCCTCATCTTGTGTATTAATACTAGACAGTTCCAGTGGTCAGTAATATCCTTCAGCTGTCATATTTTATCAGTTAAAAATAAACGTTGAAGTTACAATAAAAGAATATGTATGTTTGAATGGTACAGATGGAAGATTGAAGTGCATCCATACCGCCATTTGGGTATCCGCTTGCCGGTACGAAATATGTTCATGTACAACTATTTGAGTGTAGGGGTGGATGCTCAAGTAACCCTGGACTTTCACCGTGCTCGTGCGTCTCCCTTTTATATTATCAGCAGCCGACTGATCAACAAGGTAATAAAGTTCTCTGCAAGCTTCTTAGTTCTATATTATGCTCTTATGCCTCACTGGCTAGCAGTGTAACTTTGGCCCTTGTGTATGTTCAGAAACCTTCCAACAACTGTCTTGAAAAGGAATGATAGTATTTGACAAGTAGTTAAGGAATGATAGCATCATAACTATTAGTTTAAATTTTATATCTTAGATATATTAAAGTTATTTGAGATTGTATTTCTGACCTGAAATGTATGTTTCATGAATTTAGAAATGCTGTAGGTCAAGTCGTATTCACCTGTCCTCCAAAATAAAAATTACTCTTTTGTTCTTTTATTTAGCTGAAGAATGTAATGTGGAATGTACTCTACTATATTTCCTGCAGCTCTGTCCCCTCATTCCCTTTGCAGTTATTCAAGGTGCATGAATTGTGATGTATTTTGTGTTGAACAACAGATATGGAGTTAACCATCTGTTTTAATTTTGGTGTTCATGAGCTTCACATGTTTCTCTTATCTGTAATATGATGTGTTATGTTAGAGCTTTGTTTTGAGGTACATATGTATATTCAGTTACTGAATGTATGATGTTACTTACGGTTTCGTTTGGTTTGTTGTCTGTTGCTGTCTTAAGTGTTCTTGCTGGGGTAGGAGTTTTTTGTTGTCCGTCATCATGGTCGCTTGTTGCAGGTGTTTTCGTGACGTCAGTTGTGTTGTGTGCTGCTGTCTGGTGTTTGTTTCCTGTAATGCTTTGAATATACAGTAACTGAAATTAAGCTCATATATAACACATCACATATTACAGCTAAGAAAAACATATGCAGCTCAAATGCACCAAAATTAAAATAGATGGTTAACCAACATAACCAGATGTAATCTGAGGCAACCATATTAGAGAAACAAAGCAGCTTTACAGTGAGCAGCAGGTTCCTTAATCACCTGAAGAAAAACGATGAGTGAATAGTAATCGAAGTTGCACATAGCATAAAAGCAAAATGTAAAATCAGATTTATATGTATAATTTAAATAATACAGACTGGTTGTAATGTATTTTCAGATGTTGTATTTAACATACGGGACACAGCAAGTGATGGAAAGAGGATTCCGAGACTTGGAACAGCGCTTAGAACTTTATCTTGACGGTGTGCGCGCCAATCTTCCTTCCATTGAATCAGTTGTGGTACTCAATATCCCATCATGGGGTGCGGGTGTTCATCTCTGGAGCATGGGTGCAGGTATATTAAACATTTATTATTGTAATTTTCTTTGAAGTTGGGAAATATGAAAATATACTTCAAGGGCTATAATTACAGTGATTAATTACAGTATATTCTGTTGTACTTGTAGTCTTTGCTTTGAGGTGATATTTTTACATGGCATACTTTATTATAAGATTATTTCCATGCACAGGTTTATAGAACATAAGTTTTTGTGCACTAGCTGGCAGTGAGGATGTTGCCCCCCAGAGCTACAGTGACGGAAAGTTGGAGGTGGTTGCTTTGTATTCTTCATTCCATATCGCACAGCTCCAGGTTGGACTATCTCAACCACACAGAGTGGGACAGGCCTCTTGTGTTCAGGTGGGTGTCTGTCTTTCATTCAGAATTCAGGTATAACCAATCAAGAATATAATAAATTGTGCAGTTGCAACTACAAGAAGTTAAAACTCATGCTCCAGATTAGTTGTGTGATATGGATAGGAAGTTAGTAAACGGTTCTGAGAATGTGTGTGATATGAGGTTCTCACAGCAGTTATTATGAAAATTACTGTCCCCTGGGATATGACACCATATAGTCTGGTGCAAAATTACAAACATTTCAGAGGAACCTGCTGCTTCCATCATCAGAGTAGAAGAAATATCTGAAGATGGAGGTTGTAAGTTCCACTGAAACAATAGCTTTCTCCACATGGTGTCACATCCCAGAAGACAATAATCTTTAATAAATTTTGTATGGTAATTATGAACCTCTGTAACATATAACCCAAACTTTATGACTTGCACATGTGCTCTTAAATAACAAGGTTTGGAAATGTGCAAACAGTTTCCACCCACCCTCTTTGCATCTTTATATTCTGAATGTTCTTAACGGTTTAGGTAGCTTTAATGAGACATAAATAATATAGGTACAATTTTTGGTTGCTGGGGTTGTTGCTGGTTAGTATGTGCACTTCATTTTGGACATGGTAATAGTGTTGCTCTACCTGACATGTTTGTCCAGCCACCAAGTTCTAAAAACCAGTTCAGGAAATTAAAAGTTTTGAGTTTGTGGTGACCTCCAATGATGTAATATACGTATAAAATTTCACAAAAAAAAATGCATGGTGGTTCTCAACTAGAAAATTATTAATTTCATGCAAGGAATGCATAATGAAACTCTAATTATGGCTGTATTTTGGCATGAGTGGGGCGTGTGCACACCTTTCATTCAGTCAGTATGTTGAGACCTCCTCCCCAACTTCCTGGAATGTTTGAGAACCCCTTCAGTGAACAAAGAACGCTAAGGTCACCCAAGAACTTACTAAAAGTATCTCTACCAGAAACATGTATATAAAAAGTAATTTTCAGGTTCTCAGTTCAGTGTAAAGAGCAGACAAGTGGTTAATAAAATGGTGAGATAGTGAGTTAGGAAGGCAGGGAGTCAGTGAGTCAGTCATGCAAATGCAAGGAGTGGGTAGGGTCTTCACTGTGAAGAAACGAGTGTACACAGAACTGGTCTGAAGAGTGTAAGTGGTTACAGATGGTGGGAATAGTAATTACTTTATAAATTATTGTATATTATTAGTATTATTAAGAATTATTGCAAGCTGCATTAATTTCTCTGTCTCCCTTATTTGTGTATGTTAAAAGACAGTAAAATACTTGAGGTTCAGAATTACTGGGTTTTTGGACTGTGTCCTTTATCTGGTATTCTAAGAATTAGAGAACACAGTGTTTTTGAAACTGGATCTGTTTCCATCGTTAGGTGAAGGGAGAGACACCTACTCTGTTGGGTCCCTTCGAAAGAGCTAACCTCAATCACAGGGCAACCCTTGTCAGTATAAATACAGCTATACAGAGCTTCCAATTTCTTTGCTTGCTGTTGGTGTGAAATCAATAATTGACATTCTGGCAAAATTGTCCAGTGTGCCGGTAGGGCACTTCTTAGGGACAGGATACCTTTTTAATTGGCACAAGGCATCCCAACTCCAGAAAATCCAACAACGGGAGAATTTTCTCAAGTCATCTGTAAGTAATTCCAACCAACAACTTGCATGGCTATGGGAAGCTCTCTGCAGCTATAGTTATACTGACATGTGTTGTCCAGTGATTGAGGTTAGCTCTTTCTAAGGAACCCAACAGAGTACAGATCTCCCTCTCACATGAGGACCTGGCCCAGTGATTGAGGTTAACGCTTTCTAAGGAACCCAACAGAGTAGGTGTCTCCCTCTCACAGGAGGACCTGGCCCAGTGATTAAGGTTAACTCTTTCTAAGGAACCCAACAGAGTAGGTGTCTCCCTTTCACATGAGGACCTGATCCAGTGATTGAGGTTAGCTCTTTCTAAGGGGCCCAACAGAGTAGGTGTCTCCCTTTCACATGAGGACCTGGCCCTGTGATTGAGGTTAGCTCTTTCTGAGGAACCCAACAGAGAAGGTGTCTCCCTCTCACAGGAGGACCTGGCCCAGTGATTGAGGTTAACTCTTTCTAAGGAACCCAACAGAGTAGGTGTCTCCCTTTCACATGAGGACCTGATCCAGTGATTGAGGTTAGCTCTTTCGAAGGGGCCCAACAGAGTAGGTGTCTCCCTTTCACATGAGGATCTGGCCCAGTGATTGAGGTTAACTCTTTCTAAGGAACCCAACAGAGTAGGTGTCTCTCTCTCACATGAGGACCTGGTCCAGTGATTGAGATTAGTTCTTTCTAAGGGGCCCAACAGAGTAGGTGTCTCCCCCTCACAGGAGGACCTGGCCCAGTGATTGAGGTTAGCTCTTTCTAAGGGGCCCAACAGAGTAGGTGTCTCCCTCTCACAGGAGGACCTGGCCCAGTGATTGAGGTTAGCTCTTTCTAAGGGACCCAACTGAGTGGGTGTCTCCCTCTCACATGAGGACCTGATCCAGTGATTGAGGTTAGCTCTTGCTAAGGGACCCAACTGAGTAGGTATCTCTTCCTTCACCTAAGGACGGAAAGTGATGCAGTTTCCAAAATGTTGTGTTCTCTTGTTTTCAGAATACCAGACAATGGACAAAGTCCAAAATTCTAGTAATTTTAAGTGTTATACACCATCTCAAGAACCCTTTAAAATATACTTAAGGCCATTCCCCACTTCTGTTGCCCTTATACCATTTCACGCCTAGCTCACCCGCTCTAGGCTTATATTGGGGTGGGAGGGTATGTAGTTCAGGTCTCAGTTGTGTTACTGGCTAGCTAGGTAGGTTCTTAGTGGTTTTCCCCAGTCTCTTAAACCAGTGACAGGATTGTTTCTTGAAGCAGAACCATGACTACCCCTTTCCTTGCCAATTCATTGTTCATAGCCACGTCCCAGTCTCCTTCATTGCTGTATAAGCCCTTCAATTCAATCAGCATCATTAAATAACCTAAAAATCACTCAAGAATCATAGTACATGTACAGCAACTTCAAGATGTATGCAGGTCATAACTTGACAGGATATTTAATGATTCTTTTCAGAGCTGGTATACAAGTGATGACTTGAGGAGAGCCACTTTCTTTCTAGAGCTAATCAAAATAGTAGTTTTTGCAACTGAATAATATGAATGCAGCATAAAGTTTTCATCACTTTTGTATCTCACAGATCAAACTAAAGGATAGGATACCAGTTCAGGTAGACGGAGAGCCTTGGGAACAACACCCGGCGGAGCTGAACATAACATTTCACAACCAGGCAACGGTACTCAAATGTGCAGAAGTGGGAGAATGAATACCATCTAACCTGCCCAACTTCCAGGTTGGGTCAAGTGTGTTGACTCTATAATGCTTTTATATGTGTTGACACAATACATTCTTACTCAGTGTTGTTTTACTGTTACATATCCTGAAACATTGTTAATGTTGCAACTCTCATATTTTATGACTGTTAGTTTTTAATGTTGGATAGCTATATTTATATTTTATAGCTAAACTGTTTTGTTATATAAATGTTACCTGTTATAGACATTTTTTAAAGTATTAACTAAATGTGTTACATGAAATATGCAATTGCACTAAAATGTGTAATGAATTTAACAAATATTATTGTGGTGCTGACTTACTTCACTCTTTGCTTTCCAGGAATACAGTGCCAAAGATATGCCCAGAATGGGGTATTTATAGTAATTACCAATGAATGGGGGGGGGGGTTAAAAAATTCATACCTGGATATGGATTGGTAATAAGAACCACAGTGTAAAATTCAGTATTACCAGAATTCAGATTTTAATGGAACTGAATGATACAAATCGATGCTTTTATGTAAGAATTACAGAGAGGTAGCTTGTAGTTATGTCCCCATAGTAGTTCCATGGAAATTGGAATTTTGTGATTAGTACTTAATGTAAAACAACTGCACTGGTACTTGGATTGCATAGAATATATTTCTCACTGCAAATATTTAAATAACAAAACAAAACAGACAACATCCAGGCAATGATACCTCCTTCATTTATAATCATCTTCATCAGCAGGAGAAGCTGAAAGGGACAGTAAGGTCACTGACTGTATCCAAAATTGCAATTTCCCCCCAGTTCTTAGTTGCTGGAGGTTCAGTTATGTTCTTGGCAGTGATCTGTATATGTTACAGAACAACTTTACTTAACACTGGAACATTTTTTTTTTTTAGAGAGATGCCGATAATCCAGTGACACACTGGGAAGGAGCAGTTGTTTTATAAAAGTAAATTAACCTTTTATATACTGAAATCAATATATTATTTTTTTATAAAAATGAATAATCAAAATCATTACAATAAAAATTTAACATACTTTTGAGTGCATTTTCTATGAACTTTTACTTTTTTCTTTTATGAAAAAGGAACTCATTGCCATTGCATACTGGCAGAAAAGTCATCATTGACAACTCATTACCATAGTCACACAGAACAGTAGATGATTATGAAAGAAATAAAATCACTGATGCTTGCCTTAAGGAGGAAGGTGAGCATTCCAAAATGTTTTCAGTGATATGCTATTATTACCTGATGAGAAGCAGCGCCTGACATGGTCTTCGACTGCTATTGGCAAAGCCTAGATGGAATATTGTACTGTGACATGTTGCTGTTGAATTAGTATAGAATTTATTTTAACACTGTAATCATGAATTTCGCGGGTCACAGTAGCCGAGCGGTCTAAGGCATGTACTGTTTTCGCTTGCTTGGAAACCGGGATCGTGGGTTCAAATCCCACTCAGGGTATGGATGTTTAGTTTGTGTGTCTGCGTTTTTCTGTCTTTGTATACAGGTAGAGGCCTTGCAACGAGCTGATCACCTGACCAAGAAGTCCTACCGAATGTGTAAGATCTAGAAAAACCGAAGTGAACGGAGAAGTTCATGGAGGTAGGCTTAGGCCCACTGGTGCTGTAGTGCCAAGGGGAAAGGAAAATAGGAGAAAAGAAACATGAATTTCACTCCAACGCAGTTATTTCAACATACACAAGCATGTGTGATGTGTACATGCTGATAATGGCTTCCAGAAGGGTGTGGCCATACGCACACATTCAGAAACCGATCCATTGAGCTGGGAAAAGTAAAATTACATCAGAATGTTACATAAATAACAAATGATGACTGCTTGTGCTAAAGCTCAAACCTTACAGCTAAGAGCCAGATATCCAAGCTCTAGGGAAATTGTATATTGGCTTTCTTTTAAAATGTATCTTCATAAACTATAAAGCAGTTGGCACTGTGTGTTTTTGCTTTCTTTCATATATGTGATATATGTTTTCCATATGTCCTGAGTTTGATTCAGAATATCTCGAGATTCTTAGAGACTATAATATTTATAAAGAGACTGTGATTATCATTTAAGGGAAATGACATATAAACACTTAAGTTTATCCTGCTTCATTGCCATAGCTGACATGTCATTGTTTTTTCAGGCGATTTCTAATGCTTCTTTCTTGCCCCCTGATCATGGATTCAATTTATATCACAGGAAAATATAAGTTATATGTAGTGTTGTGACTTTTAGTGTATTTCTTGTGGTTTAATTTTATGAAAGTATTGTTTTTTTTTCTGTTGTTTTACATAGAGAAGGACTTCAGGTTTAATTATTGATCAGATCTCTTATTAACCGTTGTTATTTTAATAATTATATGGTATTGTACTTTTGTTCAATTTTGTGACAGATTTCCTGTTCTAAATGTTTAATATAATTGGAATTGTCATGGATGACTGACACTTTGACATACTCAGGTATAATTCCATTTGTAGAATTCTGAGATCTGAAATTCAAATGGTTGTTTCACAGTGAATTCTTCTCCAACAGTAAAAGCGTAGCAGTGTAGTCGAAGACATTTTGCAGCTAACTACCAAAGCAGAAAAGAAGAATCAGTTTTGTCATAAGACAACAGAAAACACAGACTAATATGAAATCAGTGCAGCCCACGCTAGTCATACACAGAGCAGCAAAGCAGAAGCAAGAGATTGGAAACAGTCTGGTGTCATATTTATGATCTGGTACTTTTTTTAGGAACTGTGAAGTTCTGTGGTGTATTTATTGAGTTAGATCTCTTTACAAATTTATGTTGCTTGTTACCTGAGTAAGTTTAGTTGCTAGTAACCTGGCATAGTGTATATTTATATACAGTTTTTATATCACAACTGTAAATATAGATTTCTCATTATATATTCAGTTTACAAAGGTATATTGGAATTTGTGCATAATAAAATTTTTTAAAAAGATTCACAATTGATCTATTGCCTATAAGCAACCAGTTTGTTCCCTGGTTAATCACTCTTACCATAAAGAGTTGTCATCAGACCACACAATGAACCAGCCGTCCTCTTTACATCCAAACCTCATTTTATATAATCCATTTTTTTAATTTGTTCTTTTCTCATCAAAACTTTGTTCTTCCAAGCGGCCTACATTGTATTTTTCATCTCATAACATCAGTAATATCACCATGCCAGCTGTGAAAAATTCTGAGGAGGAAGCAATTCTAGCATCATTTATATATAAGGTCCTGAAATTGTATAGTCGGGCATTACAAAAATTGCAGTTTTTGTTAAAGCTGTATTTTTTGTAGAATGTAATACAGTGATATGGCTGCTGGTTGAAATCTGTATTTTGCTTTTTGTTTGATGACAGAAACTAATGAAATATTTAGCTATGTATGTGAAATGCTTATTCAGATAAATCATAAACTTAACTGCAATGGGCCAATTTTTTTGCTAACTTATTAGAGACAAGTTTTTTTTTTTTTCTTTATTTAGTCATAAGGCAGCTAAACATTATGCAGGTATAATTACATGAAAGTTTGTGACTGTTAACTTTTATTCAGTCAATATGTGAATGATGGTTCTTTCCTAGAAGCATGATGTGGGATAACTCGTTGAACACATGGAACTTTCCATCTGTATGGTTGCCTACCAAGGTATAGCATAACTTGGTTCCAGGTCTGGCATGATTATATAAAGAAAAGTTCCATTTTCTGGAATTTAATTCCATGTAGTCTGTTGGAAGCCAGTGGCCTCTACTTGCTGCCTGCTTTTATGCTGGTTTCTTTCTTTGCTTATTCAACCTACAGATGGAGGTGACACGTTCCTCCAAACTGTTGGTTGACTTTCAATGGACTACACATCATTATATCCCAGAACACATAACTCTTCATAACCACTGCTGTGAGAACCTCGAATACTATGTGATTATGCTAGTATCATGTTGACATGTACTGTTCCATTAATGATGCCCACACTGAGATGAATTGAACACATGAGAAGCTTGGTGTTTTGCAGTATATGAAAATTTGTTGATTTCTCCACATATTTAATGACCAAAGCCATATAATATTTCATCTTTTGACAGCTAAGGTCTGACACATTGTGTTGTACAGGAAATATATTTAGTAATTAGACACGTTCATAGCTCTGCACTTCATCGCTACCAATGCATTGCCGGCCGCAAAGTGCACGAGATTTTTGCTGATGACTTGGTATGTTTGATGACCAATAACTTTTGGAATGGAGGAAAATGATTTACTTGTAGAACTCTACACAGTATTATGTTACATGGCAGCCAGTGTGGTTCATTTATTGGAGTTTATGATTTATTAGCAGTAGACAGTAATTATCAACAATATGCACAATTTGTTCCTGGTTAACAATCAGCAATGTGGCACAACATGGTTCACTATACTTTAGAGCAACACATATTTCTGTATGACACCTACTTGAAATATGTACCTGCTGGAAAGTGTCAGAAAAAATTTTGACATAAATTTTGTGATGAAAGAGTTCCAAGCAGACAAAAGATTCATAATTTTATAATGTTGTATTTTAGCATCCTGTTGCACTGATTTTCATCCATATGTATACAGTGGCCGTCTTGTAGTGCACTCAATTTCACCTGTTACTTCATGACATGTTTCGGCAACATAGTGCCATTGAGTGTACTACAAGATGGCCACTGTATATGTATCATGGATTCATAATTTGGTAAACAAATTTAGAACAATGGGCTCTTAATGGACAAGAAAACAAAACATGAGCGTCAAATGCTTACTGAGGAGAAATTAGATGACATAGGGGCCAGACTTGATCATATGCCTAAGAAATCGCTAAAACGTCCAGCTCCAGAGACTGGAGTGTCAAAGTCTAGTGCCAGAACGGCAACACAATTGATGAAGCCATCCAGTGAGATTTGATGCCTGGTGAGCTTAAGTGCAAGAAGGACTATTGTACGTGTGCTTTTTAACGAAACAATTGTGAAATATATTTACATGTAGAAGGATAGTGTTTCCAACACCTCCTATGATGTGTGGACAACGTAAGAATTTCCCTTCATTCCAAATGTTATCGACATGCTGGGTCATCGGTAAATTCGCGGCCGGTGAAGCGCAGAGCCATAAAGGCGGCAAGTTCGTTAAAAAGCATCCAGTACCATTAAAGAAATATGGTCTTCTACTGCTTGCAGAAAAGAATTTTCTACTCTGAATCATGCTCATTGTTCATATTACCCATGTATTATTCTTATAATTATGCCTGCCACTAGATGATGTATGTGAATATACATGACACATTTAAAAATAATATTGATTTCTGATTCTCCTCCCTCTCTTCCGAATTTAGCCAAGTAGAGTCGACAGTAACATGTAAGCACGGTTCACCCGTTTCTCTAATTATAGTCAACTTAATATAGTGAACCGTGCTTTGGGTTTTCCTTCTCTGAAGCAGATGCGCAGGCGCAACCTAGTGCACAGCGCTAGATATGTAGACATGGCGGAGAGTGGTGTTGTGGTTGTATACGAAAAGGGTATGAAAGAATCTTCCATATTTTTAGGTTACGTGTTGTGTTTTTCCATAACATAAGAAAGAGTCCAGATAATCAAATTTCTTCGTTTAATTTTTCATTCCGGTGCAACATCTAGCGAGTTAAATTCAACCCATGTTCTCAGTATTCCTATTAATTTTTCCAAAGTCGAATTCAGAGCTCTAGGCTTTTAAAGTGTAATTGGCTTACCCGATTTGTTGATTGTTTGTTTGTAACGAGTTCAGAAAATGTGATTTAAACCCTGGACTTTCGAAATAAGCAGGATTGCTGCCCATTCCATTGGTGGTTAGTTGTTTTTGTAATGTTTTAAATTTACTATTTGCTTAGTTTTGTGTTTTATCTTTTATTGATTCAGAATAAAATGGTCGTGCATCACACTGTTAGGCATCAGGAATGTCAGCACGACGAGGATGGGATCTATTCTGGCGAATGAACAGGAGATCCTGTGCTTTGACCTTGCTTATGTGTGCTGGGGTTCTTTACCTCTCATACACCTTCAACTCCTGTCTTGTCACAAACTTGAATCGAGCAATTCGACAGGTATGATTTATTCAGAAAAAAAAAAAAAAAAGATATCTAGAAGAAGAATATTAATAACTGATCTGCTGCATGTAATTTCTAGTATTTTTAAAGCCAACTATTCTGTTTTAGTAAAAGAGCAGTGGTGTTCTAGGCAATCGCTTGATTTCACTTTAAGAGTATGAATGTCTTGTTAAAGTTTGTTTGCATTTACTTATATACTTTGTTCTGTAATAAGTTTGATGCAAGAGGTTTGATAGATTCTTTGCAATAGGTACATACCCATGTTCCATTCAGTTGGTTTAGTTAATGTGAAGTCACTATATAAATAGAAATGGTTATACACATGCATTAAATCTTGCATCTCAAGTATCTTTACAATTAAAGTATTTTTAAAATCCATGTAAGTACTTTTGTAAAGGACAGCATGCACATTTGCTTGAAAGTAGAGTTGTCCTTCCATTATGCATTTGAGATCTGTAATGTTATATGCAAGGGGCCAGGTATTCCTAACATATGTGTTTGAAAAAGCAATTAATAAGTTCCAGGAAGTACTTATGGTTCTTTCTTTTATTTAAATTCATTCATTCATTCTTTTATTAATCCTGTAGATCATGATACAATGATATAGGACAAGTCTTTCAGATAATGTACATTATTAAATTACAACAATTTTAATAGTAAAAAATGATTTTATACATTATATACTATATACTTCTGCTTATATCAGTAGCCAATATTCGAGAATTCATCATTCAAATAGTCAAACAGTTTTTAGATAAAAACAAGACAGATGATGTCCAAAAACAATATTTGTAATATTTAATTATTTCCATTGCTATCTTAAGGATGACTGTCTAGAATTACTGATAGCTTTTATGTAGATGTTTGAATTTAGGTATAGGGGTGTGTTCTGTGATTGGTTAGCTCGTGAGCTGGAAGCCAGCAAGTCATAGGACAATGGAGAAGTGGTGAAATCTGCTGAGGCTGAAAAATACTCGGCATAAATTTTCTTTTTGATTGCTTTCTGTTGCTTCCCAAAATGACACAGAATATCTCTTTAAATGATTTAATCCTTCTGTCAGCTTTACCCTTCATCTCCCGTTGCTGTAGACTTCAAGCAATAAACTTCACAATTGTAAGTAACAGCACAGTGATATATGATGCCTTCACTGACTGATGTTTTTATATTGAAAGTCCTTGATTGTCTGCCTCAGATTTATTAATTCTTTTAGTTTCCATTCATAGGGGTCACTCGATTTTTTAAGCTTATTTGCATTTTTGGTCCTGTGCACCATTATAATGGGACAGTAGTTTTTGGTTAACTGAATCAGTAGTCTTTGATTACATAACTCTGTGTATGTTGTCAGTTCTGTATAGCTGTTTAGTCTCTATGTTATACTATTGAATGAAAAACTTCAGCATTATGTTTGATTATTTTTATTTTTAAAATAATATTATTTAGTTGGGGGGGGGACCCAGTAGCATATTTGGTTGAGGCATTGTGCTACAAGCTGGAAGGTCACGGGATCGAATCCCGATGAGCTAGATTTTTTCTATTTACCTAATCCTTCCAGCCGCACTATGGCCCTGGGGTTGACTCAGCCTCTATCAGAAATGAGTACCAGGAATATTGTTGGGGGTAAAGGGCAGCCGGCATGTAAGGCTGACAACCTTACCGCCATCTATGAGCTGATTGTCTAGATAATGTGGGAACCCCAACATCTCGACCCTGTGGGCTTCCACACCCTGTTACAGGGATGCCTTTACTTACTTTATTATTTAGTCAGAAACATATATAAAATGCTGAAATAAGTTGAGAAATTTCAGTATTCCTGAATTGAATAATTGCTGTTCCACTCAGGGGTAAAGATTATATTTCAATTGGAGATTGAACAGAGGTCACATATTTGATTCTTGACTGAGAAATTTTCTTTTCTTAATTAGATTTTCCTTGTTGTTTGTCATGTTTCAGCAACGGGCACAAGGGTTTCTGTCATTTGTGGCAACAGCACCAAGGTCAGTCACAGCTGAACCTGAAGAGAAGCAGATAGCAAAGCAAGAGGAACAGACTGTAGTGCGGGTGGTCCCACTCACCTGGACAGGTTTGACCGTAGGTAACGAGTCAAATGGAGAACAACTGGATGGCGCTCCTAAGTATAGGTTCCTTCGCCAGCAAGGTTTACGTCCCAGCCGTAAGTTTCCAGATGCCCTCATCATTGGTGTGAAGAAGGGTGGTACTAGAGCATTGCTGGAATTCATACGTCTCCATCCAGATGTCCGTGCCGCAGGATCTGAGGTTCATTTCTTTGATCGTTTTTACAGCAAAGGATTTACTTGGTACAGGTACTGGATTTCATCTAACAATTGTAAAATTTGACTTGAAGGTGAGGCAGTTTAAGACAATCAGCATGAGCTGTGCAAAAATTCTAATGAGTTCAGTTTCTTTAACCAGAAATAAAAAGCATGGGAAGTTAATTTAAGTGAATACTCGCGGGATCGAATCCCGATGAGGTGGATTTTTTTTTTCAATTTACCTAATCCTTCCAGCCACACTAGGGCCCTGGGATCAACTCAGCCTCTAACATAAATGAGTACCAGGAATATTTCTGGGGGTAAAGGGTGGCCGGCGTGTAAGGCTGACAGCCTTGCCGCCATCTGTGAGCCGATTGTCTAGAAAATGTGGGAGCCTCAACATCTCAGAACCCTATGGGCCTCCACTGCCTGTTACAGGGAAACCTTAACTTTTTTTTTTTAATTTGCTTTAATACGTAACCAGAAATTATGCCAATTATTATCAAGTAATCTTGCAGTACACAGCTGTTTTCGCCTGAATGATATTAAAATGAGGGGTTTTCCATTCAGGTAACCTCATCATCTTAGCCAAATAACTGTGTAGCAGTCCCATCTCCTCACCCTTTTACTTCGGCAACAGCTGCCAATGACTGACTGGCGTGTGCATCACTAGTTACCTCACAGAAGTTAGTGGTGTAAATAGCTCCTCTGTTGCAGTTACTCATTATGATCTCATAATGATTATGTTGTATATGTAATATCTTGTCTTTATAAATCAGTGTTTTGAAATTCTATCGATTTAAAAGAAAAAACCTGCTTCAGGGATTGGTAGGAATGAGCAGGAATTTAGACTGAGGAAATTTAGAGTGAACTGCATGCAGGTAATGATAGCAGTGATGATTTTTAGCCTGCATTCCTTATTTTGAAAAATTAAAATTAGGCTTATGTGATCTCCGTCCTGTCTGTCTGTCTCTGAACCCCCCCCTCCCCCCCTGCCAATTTAATTTTGAATATGTGAACCAATCTTTATGAAACTTGGTATATATATCATGGCACCTGAGCCCCTCTCAGTGACATACTTAATAAATCCCTCCTATCAGTCTGTGTGTGTATGTGTCTGTGTGTCCCCCTATCATTCCAATGCAGTGGCTCAGTAAACACATTCACACAGCAATGAAGAAATGTTGGAGGCATCATTTTCTGTGCAGTCAGTGTCTGTGTGTCTGTATGTCCCCCTATCATTCCAATGCAATGGCTCAGTAAACACATTCACACAGCAATGAAGAAATGTTGGAGGCATCATTTTCTGTGCAGTCAGTGTCTGTGTGTCTGTATGTCCCCCTATCATTCCAATGCAATGGCTCAGTAAACACATTCACACAGCAATGAAGAAATGTTGGAGGCATCATTTTCTATATGGTCTGTGTCATTTTGAAGGAAAGTAGGCCATTAATTCTTCCCAGAACTTCTTGTTCTTTTAATGATGAAGATAGTTATAACATGGATCGAGAAAAAGGTAGTGGGGATGGAACTGAACTGGCTTTGTAGGGATTTCTCATGTTTGAACTGACATTCATATCACACCTACAGCCAGACAGTTCACTGGTGGCATAAGCTTACAGGCTGATCCTCCAGCAATCATACTGCAGCCTTATGCATGATACTCTTAATTGTTGAATCTCATAATATGGATTCTGTAAAACATTGTTGCTCTTAGGTAGAACTCTAGTTGAATATCAAGACTGTAGAAATGAGACTAACTGCATGAGATATCATTCAAAAAGAATTTCCTAAAATATATTGTGTATCAGTATAGACAGCTAAGTGTTCTTCTCTGCACTGCTTAATAGGAGCTTGGATAGCGCAATCATTATAGTGACTGCCTATGGGGTGGACAACCGAGGGGTAGGAGTTCAAGTCACTGCAAAAAAGAAAAAAGTAAAGGTATTCCCTTAACAAGTTGTGGAGGCCCATAAAGTTGTGAGATGTTGAGGCTCCCACATTTTTCTAGACAGTCGGCTCACAGATGGCAGTAAGGTTGTCAGCCTTATGCACCGGCTGCCCTTTACTCCCCAAAATATTCCAAGAATATTCCTGGTACTCATTTCTGTTAGAGGCTGAGTTGACCCCAGGACCATAGTGCAGCTGGAAGGATTAGGTCAATTGAAAAAATGCAACTTATCAGGATTCAATCCCTGACCCTCCAGAGCTGAGAATTTTCTCTTCTCCATGTCATCCAGCCTGGCTCTGAGGCCCACTCAGCCTCCTATCCAATGAGTACTGGGGTGTCTTTCCCCGGGAGTAAAGTGGCTGGGGCCAAGGTCAAGAAAATGTGGATCTATACATCTGCTCCCCCCATATGTCTTCATGGAATAGTGCTGAATTGGTTAAGCACAGGGACAACTTTATCTTTCATGCTCTTTAATTATCAATCAAATTTGAAAGTAGGGGGCATACGGTCTCGTAATTGGTTGAGGCACTATGCTACAAGCCGGATGGTCACGGGATCGAATCCTGATGAGGTCATCGAATTTTTTCAATTTACCTAATCCTTTCAGCCGCATTGTGGCCCTGGGGTCGACTCAGCCTCTAACAAAAATGAGTACCAGGAATATTCTTGGAATATTCTTGGGGATAAAGAGCGGCCGGCACATAGGACTGACAACCTTACTGCCATCTGTGAGCCAATTGTCTAGAAAATGTGGGAACCTCAACAGCTTACAACCCTATGGGCCTCCAAGGCCTGTTAACACGTGCCATAGCTCAAGCAGTTAGTCGCTGGCTTCCCACTGCAGCGGCCCGGGTTCTATCCCGGGTCTGGTCAAGTGGGATTTGTGGTGGACAAAGTGGCGCTGGGGCAGGTTTTCTCCGAGTACTTCGGTTTCCCCTGCCAATCTTCATTCCACCAATTGCGACACAATCACCCTCACCTATCATCTGGGGCTGGTACAATAAGCCAGAAGTGGCTGCAGTACAAGGGACTTAGTCCCACCCCACTAGCAATAAAAAAAAAGGCCTGTTACAGGAATACCTTTACTTTTTTTTATTTGAAAGTATATTGTATGGCACATAGCAATTGCGGAGAAAATGAGGATGTCGTGAATGAGAGGAAAATGATATTGTACTGGTGATTAAGCCATGGCCATTCTGCTCACTGCTAGGCATTAGCCTGACTAACATATCTATGTGAAAAGTTAAACTCCTCTTGAACGTGATTATTTTTTACCTATTTAAGTTGTAAGCATTGCACAATTTGCTAGACCAGAGCAGTCAGTTATGTCAAATTGTTCTCTTTTTCTTGTAGACATCACATGCCTCCAACTTTGGAAGGTCAGGTGACAATGGAGAAAACCCCAAGTTACTTTGTAACGAGGGAAGTTCCACAGAGAGTCCGTCAGATGAATCCTAACACCAAACTTTTGGTTGTGGTGAGAGACCCAGTTACCAGAGCTATCTCTGATTACACACAGGCAGCCAGGTATTAACAGATGTGTTGAAATTCTTCAGCAAAATATTTTATTAACACTTTGTATCAAATATGCCTGCTAAAGTGATTATGTGGTAAGAAAATTTATGAAAAGTCCTATTGTTTACTTCTCCAATGTATAATGCATTCTGCCATTATTTTCTTTCTTTTTATGCATTTTGCACAAAGTGCATGATGTATGTAGGGCATTCATGTTATCGTCTTGTAAGGTATAACACTGTGTAGTGTGCAAGCTGGTTACCAACATTTTGAATGAACATAATGTATTCATCTTCAGATGCTAACTAAGTTAGGAAATGCTGCTGTTCAGGACCTGTAGTTCCATTAGCCTGGGTCCCCTAATGTCTGTTTTCCCATTTTTGGTTCTGATTGGTCGCTGCTCATTGCTTCCATGACCCATGAAAACCACCATTCCTATATAGTATGCCCTTTTTGTCACTAGGTTCACTTCTGCTGTGAAGATGGTAAGAGGAGGTAATATGCTTTCCCAAATCATTTATAACCACTCACCAATCTGCATTGTATTTTTTTTTTTGGTAGTGTAATGGTGATGTAATAGAGTTAATTAAACCATTGATAAATTCTGTGTATTTTAATCCATTTTATTAAAATTAGAATTAACTTACTTTGTTCATTCATTCATTCATTCATTTATTGTATATTCCATAAATCCATATACATAGATATAGAACCAGTCACATAATTAATATAGTACAATACAAATATAAATATATATGTACAGTTTATAATCATTAAAATAGATAAAAAAAACATGTGTTAAATTTATATCAAAAAAACAGTCTTACATCACTATACATAAAATTATGCAATATTAAAATTGTTTATTGTTTGTTTGTTTGTTTGTTTGTTTGTGTAATGATGCTGCAAGGAGCTCAGTTTATATTGCAGTAAATGATTGCAAGGAAGTGACTGTGGCAAAATTAGAGGTACTGTTTTAGTATTTTCATGAAGGACTGAGGAAAATCATGAAAAAACTTAGGATATGGGGACCTGGCGTTCCACGTTGGGGAGTCTCGAATCTGATACAGTGAAATATGGTAATAGTCCTGCAGGACTCAGACCCGAGAATGACTGCTTTGGTGAAGGTTAGCAGCAGTTGTTAATGACAATCATGTCCTCACATCAAAGAGGGCACCCCCATCAATAAACCCTCAACTGTCTGATGGTAATAAAAATCTGCTCTTGGGCCCCAGATGCGTGCTTGATACCAAGACAGATTGACTGACCACCCAGGGCATGGATGTTTAATGTTTGTACGTGGGTGTGCATTTTTCTGTGTCTGTGCATTGCCACAAGCTGATCACCTACCCAAGGAGTCGTACCAAATGTCTTAAGATCTAGTAAAGCAAAGTGAAATGGAGAGAGTCATGGAGGTAGGCCAAGGCCCAAATTGGGGCTGTAGCTTTACACTTATTTTAGGTGGTTCATTAAAAAGTTTAAAATCAAGGTTTCACTCTATCGCCACTCCTTCTCTTTTTACACATTAAAGTAATCCATACTAACTGATAAAGTTCTCTTAAAATAATATGACATGATGCATAAAAGCTGGAATAACAGAGCCAGAGTAAATGTTCATTGCTAGGCAACGACTCGGTAAACAGGTTACTGCGGCAATGAATACGTAAGCAACAATCTAAGTATTGTTGGGCTATAAGGATGGAAATGGTGTCTTCTGTTGGATCTGCTCCAAGGCTATGTAACGAGGATCTCAGGCCAACTGGAATAAGAATTGATGGAGTCTCTTGTGATGGCAGTTGAAGATGATTGAGAAAAAATGGAATTAAGCTGTGCAAAGAAGACTTCATTTGTGCTGCAGTTACAGTGAGACTTGGATAATTACTGTGTGTAAATCTGTGAAGACTAGTGAAGACAACCCTTGTGTGTGTGTTTGTGTGCGCGCATGCGCTCGTGCGTGTAACAGTAAACTCTAAAGTGTCTAGATAAGCAATAGCACTATATCACTTGTAACTGAGTTGAGTGTACAATTGCAGTAAATCCAATCATCCGATTTAAACCCCAACTATAGTCACACTCACTCTAATAAGGTCGACAAGTGTGGTATAACCATCTTGACAGTATGTCCTGGCAGACTTCAGAGTTGTAATTTAGTAACATAATATTCTGTTGAATATGGATACTGTGCACACATGTAATTATAAAACTGATTTATCTGAAACTATTTTGGGCAAGAGATTAACATGTTATGTGATATTATTATCTTATAGCAAGAAGGCCGGCATGCGCAGGTTTGAAGACTTGGCATTCCTGAATGGCAGTGGTGGTCTGGTAGACACGTCATGGGGACCCGTTAAAATTGGCGTATATGCTCGGCACTTAGAACGTTGGTTGCGATGCTTTCCTTTGAATCAGCTTTTGTTTGTCAGTGGCGAGAGACTTATAGTAGATCCAGCCGCAGAGATGGCAAGAGTACAGGTGAGCATCTTTAACAATACAGTGTCAGAAAAGTTGATAGATGGGAGGGAATGTCATACTGTCTTCTGTCATTACTGTTTATTGGGTCCATTCACTGATAAGTACCACCCAGACTGTTCATCTTACCTTATTTTTTGTAATGTTGTATTTTAGCGTCCTGTTGCACTGATTTTCGTCCATGATATGTATGCAGTGTCCGTCTTTTAGTGCACTCAATCTCACTTGTTATTTCACAACATGTTTCGGCACTATAGTGCCATCATCAAGTGCTCCATTTACGTTAATCTATTTCATTGCTTGCCATTATGTCATTGTAAAATTGAAAAAGTATTTAAAAATGTTTGTCAATTATAATAAATATTTATATACTAAAAACTTGTTAAGATTATTTATCTTATCTGTCCCAATTTTTGTATATGTGAACTCCATAGACACTGCGGAATGCAGTAGAAATAAATGTAGACAGGAGTGAAAATGTGTAAGTAGGTACTGGGGGGGGGCCATAGTAACAAACGGTAAGTGAAATGAATGCTGACAGTACTTCAGAGCCTTTTAACATTTTCTAAAAAAGTAAAGATTAAAATATATAAAACTATAATTGTACTTCTTTGTAATGGTGTAGGTCCAGATCTTTGTGTTTAAAGGAAGAACAACATTTTGAAGAAATTTGAAAATAAATTGTTTCTGGAAGCCAGAGAGGGACTGGATGTGAGAGAAAATTATGTACTGAACTTCATATTTTGTAAATTTTCACTTAATGTTAGCGGTGTGATGAAATTAAGGGTTTTGAAATGTGCTGTACATGTAGCATGCACAGACAAGTACATCCATGTATGCTTTCAATTGGAAAATGTCTTGGGAGCAGACAACTTACAATGTGTGCGTGCCTGTCCTGTTGGGGAGTGCACTTATTCATGAAAGTGTTCATGCACATACTCTTGTGAGCATGTTCAGTTGTGAAGTGGATTGAACTGGCATAGAACAGGGTCAAGTAATGGTCTTGGTGATGGTGATTTTTAGGTTTGATAACATCAGGGAACAGTTTAGATGAGGCTGTATAAAAACAGGTAGCTGAAGAGAATATTTGGACATAAGACAGAAGAAGCGATAGGAACATGGAGAAAAATGCATAACAAGGAACTTAATAATTTATACTGTCCACCATTAATTTTAAATTATCAAATCAAGAAATGTCAGGTGGTTAGAACATGTGGCATGCATGTAAGAGAGCAGAATTTCATTCAGTATTTTGATCAGAAAACTTTAATGAAAGAGACCATTTGGAAGACATAAGTGTAGATGGGAGGACAGTGTTGTAATAGATTCTGTTTTTTCAGCATCCTCTTGCACATCTTTAATCAAATGTCTGTGTATTTAGTCCGTCATTATTGACATTTAGTTGTAATAGATCCTAAAAGTGAGGTGAGATTGAGTGTACTGGATTCGTCTGACAGAGAACGAGGGACCAGTAGCAGGTTCTTGTGAACGTGGTCATGATTCTTCATGTTCCATAAAATGGAGGTAATTTCTTGACCTGCTAAGTAAGGTACTCTTAGTTTCTCGAGAAGGAGTCTTCCGTATGGAGTTAGTTATGTAACTTAGTTTTGTGTATGGTAATTCTATAGTATTATAGAAGTTTGTATTTTTACCGTTATCTCTGGCATTTAAATCTTGTAGGAAATATAATATAGTGTGTGGCACTCAACACTTAAATTACTGCTATGCTCATAGGATTTCTTGGGCCTGAAGAGAGTAGTTACTGAGAAACATTTCTACTTCAACTCAACAAAAGGCTTTCCATGTCTGATGAAATCTGAAGGTCGGTCTAGTCCACACTGCTTAGGAAAGACTAAGGGACGCAACCATCCACATATTGACCCTGCTGCCATTGAACGACTGAGAGAATTCTACAGACCCTTCAATGCCCGTTTCTACCAGCTTACAGGAATTAACTTTGGCTGGCCTTGAAATTGTGTAAGCAAGAACTTCAGGTAATGTGTTGTGTAAATATAACATTTTAAAACAATTTATATTCTCTGCTCATATAATATAGTTGTAAAAGCAAAGGTAAAAAGGTAAAGATATCCCTGTAAGAGGCCACAAAGGCCCATAGGATTGTGGGACTTCAAGGCTCCCACTTATTCCAGACAGTCAGCTCACAGGTTGTCAGCCTTATGCGCCAGCTGCTCTTTACTCCCCAGGAAAATTCCTAATACTCATTTCTGTTAGAGGCTGAACTGACCCCAGGGCCATAGTGCAGCTGGAGGGATTAGGTCAAGTCCAGTAACCTCATCAGGACTTAGGAATTGAACCTGTGACCTCCTGGCTTGTAGCATAGTGCCTCAACCAACTATGGTACTGTATGCCCCTATAAAATAGGTGTATAAAATGTAATGCAGAAAATTGCAAGAAATGAAAACTTGATCCGAAGAACCCCTGGAGGGAAAAACCTCAGAGATGACAGAGTGTATAAAATATAAGATGATTGAGTAAATAGTGGCATGTGGCCGCGCCATAGCTCAAGCGGTTAGTTGCCGGCTTCCCACTGTGGCGGCCCGGGTTCAATCCCTGGTCTGGTCAAGTGGGATTTGTGGTGGACAAAGTGGAGCTGAGGTGGGTTTTCTCCAAGTACTTCAGTTTCCCCTGCTAATGTTCATTCCATCAATTTCTCCGTCATCATAATTACCCGGGGAAGGGTACAATAGGCCAATCAGTGGCCACCGTGCCGAGTGGACCCAGTTGGACTCCTCTCCCCACTAAGCAAATTAAAAATTTAAAAAACAGTGGCATGTGATAAAATCTTGGGTATTGTATTTATGTGAATATAATAAGATTCCTTTTCTCATGTCTAAAATATATGGAAAAACATGAGTGTATAAAGTTCAGCAAAAGTATCCTACTGAATATTATGTACTTCTCTGACCAGCATCAGACAGTATCTGACCCCACAAATTGAAGAAGAGTACTTTGATAGTCAGGTGACTGTGATATTTCTGTCCTGAGAAACTACACCAGTTTTCGTAATATCCATGATTTTATTTCAGGTAGGACATCACTGGCATCAGGTTTTCTCATCAGTACCAGGAACCATATGTCAGTCATTTCTCTTCTGACATAAAATATTATCTTTTGTATCACAGTTAATAATTTTCTTCGTTTTGAGAAAGAAAATCATTGGATTTTAAGATAAGAATTTACTGTTAAATTTGTCTTAACTGTTCTTCCCTTGTATTTCAATTAATAGGGTTAGACATACTGAACCAAGAAAATGGATATATGCAATGTTCTAGTCATTTTTTGATATTGTAAGATGAAGGGGTGATGAAATCACCTGACTGCTGTTATATGTGGAAGTCGTTATCTAGCTGTGCCAATTAAAATTTATTTTTGTCTTTTGTATGTAAGTGCTCATTCAGCAATCTTGTAAATAAACCGTATAGTGGCAGATGTGATATGTTCCGACCTTTATACATTTTGTTATATGTTGTAAAGGGCTTCTTTTCAGTTGAAAATAATTCTGAAAGAAAGCAGTCTTCTGGGATTTGGCACCGTGTATATGTGGTGTTAACCGACGTTTCGGAGGAACGTATCGCCTCCATCTTCAGGGTAGAAGAAAAAATATAAGAAATCTGCAAGCGAAGAGACCGTCTCTTCGCTTGCAGATTTCTTATATTTTTTCTTCTACCCTGAAGATGGAGGCGATACGTTCCTCCGAAACGTCGGTTAACACCACATATACACGGTGCCAAATCCCAGAAGACTGCTTTCTTCATAGTCACCACCATGAAAGCCTCAAATCTTACATAGAAAATAATTCTGGTCACTGTTCTGAAACAGTAGTGCTGAAGAAAGTTTTAATTCTTCTGTGGCTGCAAATGTGTATTAGACAAGTTTTATTACTTAAAGAATTGATGCTGTAGTCAAAAAGTCATATTTTATAGTACATGTACTAGTACTTCAGAGTAATATACAAGAATTTGTTTTTTATGAGATTAAGAATGGAGGGAAACCCTTGTGTTTTTCTTATTGTAATGAAATCTCTCTATGTTATGCATATAATGTTATCTGTGACATATGTTTCACAGACATTACAGTGTGTCCACAAAGTGCTGTTGGAGTTTTGAAGAATTGTGGCACACAAACAAATCGAGCTAGTCACATGCAGTTTGTGGCAGATCATAGTGAAACTATGGAAGTTTTTTACTGACCTCAGTAGACTTCGATGTGTGCTTCCTTGGTAGCACGGAGAACATCCAGATGATATTCGAGCTCTTGTGTTCTGTGGAGCATGTCCGCTGGAATAGCCGGGATCTCATTTCTGACACGGGTCTTCAGATCATCAAGTCTGTTGACTGGTTTTCAGAACACACTGCTCTTGGCATAAGCCCACAGGAAAAAATCTGCATTCCTAGACAGGACATTTCCAGGAAGATGGATCGGCAGAGAAGGTCCAATGCCTTGGCCTCCACGTTCACCAGTCATAACACCACTGGATTCTTTCCTGTGGGGTTATGTCAAGAGCAGTGTGTTCCAAACACCAGTTAATGGACTTGACGACCTGAAGACCAGTATCAGGATGTGATCTCTGCTATTCCAGTGGACATGCTCCACAGAACATGGCAAGAGCTCGAATATCGTCTGGACATTCTCCGTGCTACCAAGGGAGCCCACATCGAGGTCTACTGAGGTCAGTAAAAAACTTGCAGAGATTCACTGTGATCTGCCACAAACTGCATGTGGCTTGCTCAATTTGTTTGCACGCAACAATTTTTCAAAACCTTGATGGGACTTTGTGGACACACTGTATGTTGAAACTGAATATTGCTATAAGATACATGAGCATGAGTTTAGTATGGACAAAAATTTAATTCACCGGTCATTTTAATATGATGTTTTTGCACATGTAAATGTTCGTTTGTTGTCTCTTTGCAATTAACGTAACTGTTTGCCATGTAAATTTTAACCAGTTTACTCTGAAAGAAGGAAACACAGAAATTGTGTATTTCCAGCCCCAATGCTTTTGAACAGTTACAGAAAAACAATTAGAAATAATATTTGTTACCAACATAATGTGTAAATTTTTCATGCTTATCGGTCACAGAAACTTATTTTATGAGTAGAAATATCGGTATCACATATTGCAAGACTGCTATAATTTATTAGTGTCCTAATATAAGAGTTTAAGCTTCCTCACTCTTCACTGGTATGTCTGCTGCTGTGGTGTCTGGCAATTTGCTTATAGTTCTACTGGCCGGTAGCCATGCAGGACTTGTAACTTAAGTGTTTTATATCACAAACAGTCAAAAGCTCCATCCTGGACCATAACTGCACCACCCAAATGTTTTAATAGGAAGATACATTTTGCTGCTAGCAAATGCATTTCCATTTCTTAACAATAAAAGATTGGAAAAGGTCTGCAATATAATGCACAAAATTCCCATCAGTGTTTTTTGCAGTTAATCGAGCTTACATGTGGCCAGACTATAGGGTGTAATGGAAACAACCATCGGCATTAAGTAAAAAGGACGTTATTATAAGTCAGTGTGGCCAAAAATTGGAATTTTGCTAATTGTCAGTATTTCTTTTGATAAAATTGTTTATTATTTTTATTGTGTATTAGGATTTTCTGTATTATTTATTTTAAATGTGTTAATTTATTTATGTTTGATAACTTTGATACAAAGCCCCCTCCCCCCTCAATGAATAAAAATATATAACTAAATCTGTCCATCAGCATAGGTGCTGATACTAGGTCACAGATGAACAGAAATGTCTTCTAGAATGCCATCACAAGGCTGTCGCTTCATCATCACTGCTATTTGTAGGTGGGCTTCTACTTTGTTTTAGTAGTGTATCATCTTTGCTTTGTTATTGTGAATAATTTTAAAAACATGCTTATGAACTGGCATGAATTTTCACCTATTGCTGCATATTGTATTGTCACTTGATACCAGATTTGTTATTTACATTGCTGTTCTGACATTGTATAGAGATGTTTATTTGAATCATGCAGACACTATCTTCGTACCTGGAATGTGTTCGTACATATTGTTTTATTATTGTTTCCCTTGACTTTGTGATGCTTACACCAGTGTTTGTCAGAACTGGGATACACCAGTTGGTACAACAATGCATAGCTGAAGAACCAGGGTTTGATATTTGGGCCAAAAGATTTTCCTCTTCACATCATCCAGACGAAGCAACTCAGCCTCCTGTCCAGTTGGTATGAGGGGGGGCTCATTCCCTTGGAGCAAAGCAGCTGGAACTGGTCATGCTGTTGACCATTCACTTTTATCGAGTGCTGAGGTTAAGAATATGTGGAGTTGCAGTTTCATTCCCCTATATACCTTAATGGTGTAGCACTTAATTAGGCTGAGATTTGCATGTTTGGTATTGAGTGATTTTCATCCAGAATAGAAGATTTCATGTGGACTGGAAATTTGGGCCTATAAATAAGTATATTTATGAACCACTGAAATTTTTGTGTGTTTTTCAACAGTTATGGTTTATTTGGTATTTCTTCGCAGAAATAATGTTAAAGAAATATTGAACTTATATTTGACACACAAATACAACTATCATTTCTACATATTTATGTGACAGTCTTGGCCCAGCTTTATTAGCCTTCATTTATGTTGAAAAAATAAAAGGAGGCTTGTGAAATGACCTTGCTGTCTGTGTGTATATGTATCCCCCACTAATGCCTGAAAGCCAGAATAGTGGAACCAGAAGAGATTGCTGTTGCTAGACAGTGGTTGGTAAACACATTCCCTTGGCAATGAACAGACACAGAAAATAGAAGAACTTTTGGACATGATGATTTCTGTACAGTTCATGTTGTATCAGATACTCAATATATAGTGAAAGGAAAGCAGACAGTTTTTCTCACAATCTCTTGTTTCTGAAAGTGTGATCTCACTTTCCCTGTAATTGATCTTTGTGGTATGTGAGACTTTGCATATGCTTCAACTGCAGAGACTGTTCTATAGACCATCGATCCATCCTATTTATTCCCTGTCAAAGTATTTCACAGGTCAAAATATAGGTGACTGTCAGGTGGATGGATTTTCCATTTGGCTTTGAACTTTAAGTTTAAAGCAAGATACCTGTTGTCACAATGTACACAAAAGACTCCACTCTGTATTCTTCACAAATTTAATGTTGGTAGTATACAGAGCTAAAATTGAGCAATTAAATGTAACTTTTTTCCATGTCGGCCATATTTGACATTCTGGGAAAAATTTTAAACTGTATTTCTTTTGAGGCAATCTAATATTGGTGGTGCTTTATGAAATTCTTTATTGATACTTTTAGGTCATGTGGGATAATCACGATGGCCACTTTCTGTACACTGTCTGGTTTGAGGAACAACTTCTGAAGAATATATATGTGTACAAGCTGGAGTTGTATGCTAACAAGACTGTAGCATTTGACCTTTATTTTCTGGGAAAAGGGAATTTTTAAAATCCCTTCATACTCTGGAATATTAACTTGGGAGGGAGCTAACAGTATTCATATTAAAGAAGTGCAGTACTTGGCCAGTTTGACTGTAAAGTGCTGAAATTTGATGGTATTTGTAAAATATATTAAGGTATGGTGCTTCCCTATGACTAATGAAGTAAGCATAATGCTTCCCATTGCTAATATGATGCACTAGTTCACCATGTATTGACCCATGTCCACAAACACAGAAGCCCTTAGGAGGAAAATGAAATGATTGTCACTTTTTTTTATTTCCCCATCTTAAGTGTGACACACAACATTTTTATTCCTATTTACAAGACATATAATGCATTTCTGAAACATGCAAGGTCCAATACTTATACTCATATAATTAAGATGTCTATTTATTTTGTTTGATTTTATAAGCATACCATTATAATTCATCCAGTTGAGAAACTTTTCAACAGGGATCATGACCTTCAGACCTCCTTCAGGGGATCATCAACATACTACATCTTTCTGAAGAATTTTTTATTGTCAGTATTTCTGATAAGACTGATAGAAATACAGAATGATTGTACTATGCTTTTAGGTACTTCAGATGCTGAGTAGGAATAGACATATGATCTACATATATATAGTCCGATTTTAATTGTTTTTAGTGTCCTGATCAAAATTAGGGTTTTTAATATTTATGATATGTATGTAGCCATATAACCAAATGATTATGAGAAAATACAAAGGGTAGAGTTGTTTGTTATTAAAAATAGTGTACAAAAATGGTAAAATGTACAATAATGACTTTGTGGCTGTACTTTAGATGTGACTGTACAAGTGCTGGTTTCTCAGAAATTTGAATATGAGAAGTCAACATGCAAATTGGATGAAGAAGAAGAAAGCAGGCATGAACTATTCTTTCCTTGTCTGATCCTAAGAATAAATTGACTTGTTACCTTGTCTCTTGCACTCTTTTTGCAGTACCATTTTCAATCAGCATAAATAAAGGGGGGGGGCACAAAGTTGGGTTGTAGTTGTATATTCAGATATTTGGTGACTCGAGGCTTGGACAAAGATTAGTTATGTCTAGTTTTCATTGTTACATTGTTATTTCAGTTCG